CTTGTTACTACTAGTAAGGCACCTGTTACTACTAGCTTCTTGTTACTACTAGTAAGGCACCTGTTACTACTAGCTTCTTGAAGAAAAGGAGTTCTTGGAGCATGTACAAAGATGTACAAGTACAGCTTCGGCGGATTTGCGGCTTCACTTAGCCGTGGGATGGAGAATGTGCTATTGGAACGGTCATCGAACGGCGCACCCGACCTCTGCAGACAGGGGGGGCCTGCACAGTGTCCCCGAAACAAAGTCAGGGCAAAGGCGAGCAAGAAAACGCAAAACAGCATATCAAAGAAAGAAATGGTCTTGATCTTGCAGCACATGCGCAACTGCATTCTTAATATATTAATCAACCAATGCGCATACAAGACCAAAGAATGTCTGTCACAATGTGCAATCCTGTTTCGCAAGCTTGACCATTTGAGGCCTCATTCTTGATCCAATCATGGTCGAATCCCATCTTCCACCTTGTTCCCCATACTCGCGGACTCTCAGCGCACCTGGCATCTCTGGCATGGCAGGCCGTGGTGGAGGCACCCAGCCCTCCTAGCCATGTCCGAACAATCGACTGTAGGAAGCAATCTTTAAAAAAAACATGGAACATCATGAAAAGCTGTTCAGAACCTCCTCAAACTCCTCAACTTGATCAGAGTTCCTTTCTGCCTGAGGCAGCACACAGGGGCGACCCTCGTTGTTTTGCTGTCTTTAAGTCTTTTCCATTCCGCCTGGGACGGAGAGCTTGGAGCCACGATGAGAGTCTTTGGCACTTTGGGCTCAGGACATTTCAACGGAACTCCCACGTTGTGATTCAAGGCAGCCCATGACAGGTCAATAGGTTCAGACCGGTCAGACCGATCCAGCCGGTCGGCACTCTGCCTCTCGGACCGAGATGGGCGTGAGCTGCACGCTTCGACATCCGCAGTGAGCTGCGCTGGCTGCAGCAGCTGCGGCTCTTCGCTGGACGCGAAGCTTTCGGCTCCCCGGCTGCAGCAGGTCTGAGCCGAGGCCGGAGCACTTGTCAGCTTGGTCTCCAGGGCCCGTTCCGCCCGCCGCTGCCGCACCCGGGCCAACGCCGCTTGCCGCCGCTCGGCGACCTCTTCGCCCCGCAGGATCTCCGGCGCCTTCGACGGCGTCGACCTCGAACGAACGCCGTCCAGGCGCTTGTCCTCCGGCCGGCCGTGCCGGTCCGCCACGAACTGCCGCACCGCCGTGCGGCGGTCCGACACGGAGAGCGGCATGGAGTCGAGGCGAGGGCATGTGCGAAAAGCACTGAAGAGTGTCTGATCTTCCTTCTAGGCTATAGGCATTGCATTGTGTGAACTGACATCGAATGAGGCATCTCTTCTACATCTCTGAAGTGAATGAGCTCAAGAGTTCGACCCACCTAGCTCAACTGACACACTGTCGGGTTGAGCCGGTTCCGGAGCGATGTTCCCAGACGCAACTCGTCAGACACTTGCACGTCAGACATGCAGCAACATGTAGTCACTCCGGTCCGGTCACTCCGGTCTTTCCCCCAAATGCACGAGCTCAAAATATCCAGCTCGAAGCTCAACTATGCCTGATGAAAATGAAGCGAAGTGTGCCAGGCATTCCAAAAGTTGAGCCAGAACTGCTAAAACGTTGGCCTTCCAGGACACAAGCATGTTCTTCGTGGTGCCCTATGAAACGCAGCCTTTCAAATAGCAACCCAGAAAAAACAAAGATATAGCAATGACCAACTACAGCACTCGAAAGTTGTGTCTGCAACTCTGAAAAGCCATGTTGCTGAAGATCTGTGGGTTGCGGCTGCACACGGAGCTGTGTCTTGGAGCTGTGAAACGACATCCAAGACAAGGTCTTGGAGATGTCCTGTTCACGGAATTTCACAGTCCAGGGTCCTACCCGGGTCCTACTCTTCTGGGTGCTTCCCAAATTTTGCACGTGCACTACTGATCCATTTGGCGTTTATTTTTTACTGCGTGCATCACACGCCCAAAAGAACATGGAGCTGTTTCAACATGCCTGAATTTCAAGGACGTAAGCAACATGCCAATGGTAGCCGAACATCTGATCCCGACCATCCTTGCCAGTGCGGCTGCTGCCTGGTGCTGTCGCCCCGATGAAAAACTCGCAGCCCGCCACTTGGTGGGGGTAGCGAGACTCCTTCTCAGTAGCAAGCAAGTGATCTAATGAATGTGGCCCGGCATACCACGCCTGCAGGGTAGGCACCCCTAAATTGGTAAAGTTTTTGAGTAAGGGAACGCTTATGGTGAAGATACACAGATAGACTGTGTGCAAATCTACTGCTGAATTGAATAGTCCAAATCAGCTTCTCGGTGTTGGCTCTTTGTGTTCTCCTGTTTCCTCTTCACATGTGTGTTTTCATGTCTTTTTCTACCGCGCCTTCCATGCGATCTCTCTTTCCAACAAGATCTTCATGCGGCAGCCCTTCTTCACTACAGTCTCTAGAGCCTCGAGGATCGCTGGTGCCTTCAATGTCAATGATGTGATCATCAACACCAGCCGCGCGCCCGAGGCAGCACGCTGAGAGATGAGTTTCAACAAATACACCACCAAACCAACACCTTCCCAAAAGCCACCAGAGAGTGGTGACAAGCTACCAGAGGCTTCAGATTTGGTAGGGATGTAAGGTGGGTTGGACACAATAAGGTCAAAGGCCGAGTCATGGTCTAGCAAGCTCACAGCATCTTCCGCACAGAATTTCCAATCAATTGGCCTGCCTGTCATGGTGGCACTCTCCGAATTGAAGGTCCGGTTCTTGTAATAACTGATGGCTGTCGGGTCGATGTCCACTAGTGTCACTTCCAGTTCGGAAGGACCCTGGGCATAATGCCCTGCAAACTTCCCAATGAAGCCAGAACCAGATCCAACATCGATCAATCGCGTCACTGTCTTGAAGCTTTGCAAACAGTCCACCAAGCCTCTGCACACGAGAACCGTATCGATGCTGGGTTGCATGAAGCGCCCACCGGGGGGGCGTGCGAAAACAATGCCAACATTCCGGTAGTGAAGATATCGCAACTCATATGGTTGGACGACAAAGCCCTTGAAGGCGTTTGACATCACCACCGGATTCTTGACCTTGATATCAGGAGGCCCAGGCCCATGGCTCACAACTCCATTGTTTACAGAGCCTTCTTCCCAAATCCTTTGTTCTTCCACCTCATCATCAAATATAACCAGGGGAAGACGTGCCACCTGCACACTCTTGGGAAAAACCGCAAAGTCAGGGTCACTGAGAAGTGGCTCATCCACCGTCACAGGTGAGGCTAATGCGCTTGACCCACTTTTCGTGGAGGGCACCGGGGAAGAGCTCACGGTCACCGCGCTCAGTGCTCCGCGCTCCGTCACCCGGTCTCGCTCCGTTTTCGGCGTCCGCACGGATCTCGCTCCACGGCGCTCGGGAAGATGCCGCATCTTCGTCTCCGGTCCGTCGGGCTCCGAGTCCGACTCACCGCGCTCGCGGCGCTCGGAGGATCGCGGCGCTCGCAATCGCGTGGAGAAACAACTGGCACATCCCGGGGCCATTGGAGGGCTGGCGGTGTTTGTGAGTTTCGAATGAAAGACCTTTTCTTTGAAGTTAAGTTCTAGGTTGCAGAGGAAAAGCTATCCGTGAATTCGTTGTGGGATGAGATTCCGAGATTGAATTATAAACTTTGAGCCTGGGATCTTGGCGGCAAAAAATCAAGGCCCACCAACTTAGTAGAATGGAATTCAAGGTGCGAGGCAATCGGTCCATGCATTTTGTTCTCGCAAGGTGAAACATCTTTGCGTCCAACTATCTTCACGCGTCTTCATTATCAGCATCTCCTTCTTCTTCTCCTTCTTCTTCTTCTTCAATCAGCTCCACTTCCTGGAATCTGATCTGTTGCTATCTTTGGCGTTCCAACAACTCCCAACGAAGCTGTGGGGCACGGGCGGGTACCTACCCCCTTGGCAAAACAAGTCGCGCGAACCGGCTTGGCCAACCAAAGGTCCCGAAACCAGAAATGTCAGCACCGTTTTGATCAGGCGTGGGCTGTTGTGAAGTCAACGGGAACAGCCAAGTCTCGAGAAAAGCTGCCGGAACTCTTTTCCCCGCACATGTGCACCAGCACGTTACGTGCGGCTCTGCAGAGCGCGTCTGTGTCATCGCGGGTCTGCTGTCTCGGTGTGGGGATCCAAATGGAATTTGAGACTCTCAGAGTTCGGAACCCGGATGGTGCTCAACCTTTTGTGCAACGAAGCCATTGAGAACTTCGAGGACAGAGCGTTTCCCCTTCTCTCTCCCGCAGTTCACAACACAGAAAGGTAGAGGAAAGGTCGTTGCTATTCTGGAGTTCCTTTCAACTGAGCCTCTCAAGAGGTGGTTTCGCAGCTTCAAAACGATTCCACTTGGAATGCCGCCTCTTGCTACGCTTGCTAAACCGAGAAGGAATGCATAAATGGTCCAGCCGAGGACATTTCCATCACCTGGGGTCCATCAAACGCACCTGGCAGTCAAGATCACAGAAACAAGTAGACAAGACAAGAAGGTTGTGAGGAATTCTTCAAGGTATGTATTATATATATATATAACTATAATTATTACTATTATTGTAAACTCCCAGTCCTCTTCACGCTCTTGATCTCTCATGCTTCTCTCTTTGTCAACATATGCATCTCAAAGCGAAATATGGTTTTCCTTCTCACAACACTAGAAGCAAAAAGCTTCCCACTCCACTCCACGACAGTAATAATAGGCACTAATATATCAAAAACACCCAGCGACCCATGGCGACCTTTCTTCAACCTGCAGATGTTCCGCCAGTCGATCCCCCCGGTCGATGTTTCGCCTGCCAGGATCTGCGGCCCTCGGCCCTCGCTGAGCTCGGCAGCAGCCGCGTGAAGGGTCTCAGGAAAGGCATCAAAACAGGCGAAAGCTTCTGAACCTGCCTGTTGGATGCGGTTTCTGGCTGTTTTGGGGGATGAACCTCTCAAAAAGTACTACTGTAAGCTTTGTATAATTCTATATACTTGGATGAGTTGTTCATCAGACTAGCAAGCAGTAGCAAGGCTCTGACCGTTTGTGAGGATCCGCTTGTAGCTTGAGGGAAGCTATCGGGTAAAAACTATTTTTATCTCAATGGTTGAGCCTCTTTTACTGAAATCTCCACCAGGACCACTACTGTAGCAAACCTCCCACACTAGCTCAATTCATCTTTGGAAATTGAAGAAGCCAAATCGTCTGAAAAAAGAAAATAACCAATTGCTACTCCTTGTGGCTTAAGGCTTACGAACCCACCAGTCATCACCGAGCCTGGACGAAGTGATCGTAGAGGACGTGTGACCGGCTCTTCCCCAGCTGCTGGGAGTATCTGCGACGTCTCACAGACCGGTGTTCGGTATCTCAGACGCGTCCGACTCTGACGGCGTCCACTGTGAGAAGAATTAGAAACAGCGCCATGTTTAGGCACCATCATCGTAGGAAGAGCAAGGGTTGTGACAAAAAAGAAAAAAGCAAGGCATACTGCGACATGCCCTGGGCATCCCTGGGCAATGTGTGCGTTTTCATGAGGAGCTTTTGGTACGGTGCACAGTACTAGATACCAAAAAATGAATTGTTTCCCCAAATCTTGCAAGCATCCTCACACATTGAAGGCTGCCTGACATCAGTGTCCTGCCAAAGCACAGCAATCTGTGAAAATGTGAACTGCATGACAAAATGTAGTGGGGCCATGAGGACTGTCTGCATATATAACTGCTTTTGCCTTTATGTCTGCGAGTTCGGTATCTCTCCTTGAGGTCAGAGACCAAAGATGCCTTGGAATCATCAGCACAATGCTAAAAGCACGGAATCTGTGCGTTTTTTTCCATCGGTGTTGCCTTCGTCACCAAAGGCAACAAACGAGCACACACACATATTTAAGAAAAGAAACAATAATTAATGAAACAGTGATCTGAGCGAATCCTACATATTATTTTCCACAATGGCCTTTTGTAAAGAAAGAAAACTGTACACCCCACCTGTGGAAGGACAAGGATGCCCTGATACTCCTTCTGGCACAAAGTCACCACTGACTCCGCCTCAAGTGTCAAGACACATCTCTTTAAGACATCCCTCGCCATGCTTGCTCTGACTTCTCTCCCCAAGCCTCCTCGGAACTCTCTCCTCTGGACAGCTTCGCCGTCAGAAGAAACCTGATGTCTGCGTGGCGAAATCGAAGAAACATGAAGAAACCAGACATTTGGGTCGATTCCTTGGTTCAACTTTGTTCAACCTCTGGTATCGGTATTTTGGGTATATTCCTTTCTTCACTCCCGAACAAGTGTTAACTTCACGGTCTTTTGGCTTGATGACTTCGTCCTTTTTATGAAGAAGCCAGGCCACAGAAATCGATGTGAAAAACTACGCAGTGAGAGACTGGTTGCTTGGTTTCTATTTCAGCTTCTCAAACGACTCAATCCAACCAGCGATCAAACATCTCCTAGGCTAGCGGCTAGCGGCGGAAAATTTGTAAATCATGTAGAAACACGGAATGCAAAGCACCAGCCAGTGGCTAAACAATGAGACTCTAACAGGGTGAAAAGGTTCACTCATCAAGATCCCACACTCGTTCACCGGGCGTCCACCGGGCGTGAAGACTGTCCCACGCCTCGCCGCGGGGCCCAGCTTCTCTTCGGTCGCGCTCTTGGTGAAGGAAACGGCCACGAAAAGCCCTCGACCGATCTCTGCCTGAGACCCAACCCGATCGGCGCTCCGGTTGAACGCTCCGGTTGAACTGGGCGGTGGTCGTTATTTTGGGAAGTCCATCCGAAACTGAGATGTCCTTTGATTCTTTTGGGGGCACTGGTGACTCTTAAGACCGAGTCCAACAACTGACAAATTCTAAAAAGCCCGACATGTTTGAGTTCAAACATGTTCAAACAAGCCAAAAGAGTCCGGAAGAACCAAAAGCCATGAGCTGACTCGCTTGACTCAGCGTCCAACCCAGCTATCCGCTGCTTCATCGACCAGGAGTCTGGCTTTGAGACAGCGCTGAACAACTACTGCAATGGTGCCGCTTGCTTTGAACTCCTGACAAATGGCAAAACAGGCGAAGCACCACAAGAATGCAACGAAGCTGAAGTCCAAGAAGAAAACTGAACAAATGGTGATCAAAAGCCCGGCACCTGATGTGATGACTTTCTTGGCGGGTATCCGTCATCTTTCGCGTTTGGATCTAGGGCCTAGCAGCGGATGCATTCGGACCACATGGAACATAACAGGCGCAGGTCAACCAAGTAAGAACCTAGAAGGGCACCCAAGTCTCTATGACGTGTGCTGCTTCTCCATGTAGCTCCGGCCTGTTCCGCCCGTCGCTTAAATTCGCTCTGCATCTCAGGAGGTAGGTCTTCGACTTGACACTCCGGATCCTGCGACCCGTGCGGCGTGGTGGACGAGTCCGAAATGACCCGGTCGACTCGTCGACTCGTCGACTCGTCGACTCCGCACGGTGTGCCGAAGGCCTCGGCAAAAGCTTTCATCCACACTTCGCTCATCATCAAGATCTGGAGCACCTCGTGAACTCGATCGTGCAAGAAGGGCCTCCGCACGGGGTTTTGGGGCGGCGACGTGCGTGCACGAAAAGCGATGGCGAAAAAAAAAGACCTGTATGGTCTCTGGGTATTACCTTTACTTACAATAAGCACATGGGATACCTGGCCTTTCTCGACACAGCTTGCACAGAAACCTCCAGGCCACATCCTTCTCCTCAAGTGAGTCCAAAGCTTCGCGCTCTCGGCGCAAGTGGACGCAGGAGATACGAAACTCTCTGAAGACCTTGGGCAGAACATCGCAACACATCACGCACCAGCGTGTGACATGGTGTGACACAGAGCCTTGCTAGCACCGAGGTAAGCACAGTTTCGCAGTTGTTGGCAAACTGGAATGTGTTCTCCTCGGCAAATCGAAGAAAATAACTGCATTCATTTCTGAAAACGAGAACTAAATCACACAGCGTACTATTGTGTGAAGCATGACATGTAGTGAGGCGTGAGTCATGAATTCTCCCAAAAGCAAGATTTGCAAAAACAAAACGAAAAGAAGGAAGCAAAAAACATGTCGTGCTGCCAAAGAGTCTAAAGGCTTCATGCTGTCACGCGCCTTTTCCAGGCGCGCTACTCGCTCCGGCAGCGGTTTCACCAGCAAGTCGCTCATGGTGAAGATGCGGCCCCAATTCGGAACCGGGCACGCTCGCTTCGGTTGGCGCTGCGTGCTCTGCGTGCGTCGCTGCGTGCTGTTGGGACTAGCGATCGAAGCCACACAGGCCTCGTTTTGCGTGAAGGCCTAAGCGTGTTTCGGTTGGAAGCCTTGCAGTGAAGTCTCGCTCAAACGGCCACGGTCAGCAATTGGTGCTCTGGGGGGTCGGTGACCGTCAGGTCAAGCGCAGTTTGGGGAATCTTCTTGGTGGATGCCAGTGGATAGAAGCCCTGGAGTTTCCTGACCTTCCGTGCTGGTCCTGCATGGTCACATTCAAACCCTGAAGCTGAGCGGCGGCGGTGAAAAAGTGCGGTTAAACACTGAGACTACAAAACTGGTTGAAGCTACTAGGAGCAAGGAAGCTACTAGGGGCTCCTGGCCGTACTACTAGGAGCAAGTAGCTACTAGGAACCAAGGGCATCGCTACTAGGAGCAAGGACGCTAACACAACTGGTTGAATGCCATGCGACAACATGCGACACCATGCGACAACTCAGACAGGACAACCATGCCTCCTTGCCACTGGACACCCATGCGCCTGCACAGGCCATGCGCACTATTTGCGGAAGCAACGGGACGACCATCACTGTGTCAAGCACTATCGAGCACTATCACTCTGCCAAGTCTAACACGCTGCAAAAAGTACGACAACGCTGAAAGGGCATTGAAGCATCCCTGAAGTCTCTCGAAGTCCTTTCAACAAAATTGGCGGGCCGACCATCGCCAGATTGGGACCACTTCACATCTTCTGCCGCCTCCAAAAACATTTGCCAGAGCTTTTCGTTGAAAGGTTTGATCGTCTTTGAGCATGTTGCTCTTCCGACTCTACACATTCTTCTTTCCGTTCTTGTTCTTCAATCTTGCCAGAAGTGGTGTCTTCTACCTGGATGCAAGACATATCTTGCCACAGTCTCTAGTGCCTGCGCCAGTGCATAGCGCAAGGATGCCGGTTGCAGCACCTGAATGTTGCAAATGACGGCTTGAAACTTGAAATCTCAGACCAGAAGGCCCGAAATGTGATACTTTTGGGTTCAAGCATTTTCGTTGGTCGAAACATGTGAGATTCAACGAAAAGACAAGCACAGACAGTCAGCGTCAGCTCGTTGACGCTGTTTGACAGCCTTTTTGCCCCCACCTTGGTCCCCACGAAGCTGCTGGCGACGTTGCGTGGGATGTCGTAGACCGGGTAAAGGCCTCCGTTTTCGTCGCGAACCGCGAGACGGCGAGACGTCCCGATCGTTTGGGGTGCAACGAATCGGAGTCAAAACGAAGTTCATCGCTGATGTCGGTCTGGTAAGGTCACCATTTAGCCACAAACCGAAATTGGTTTAGAGAGCCGGTAGAGGAAAACACACTCTATTTGTGCACCAGATATTGACTTGGCGAGTCATCAGCTGCATGTTTATCTACCAGAATCTGTTGAAACAAATGGCCTATCTTCGCGCCGACAAATCACGTAATCTTTTGTGCCACTCTTTTGGATGGTCCAAGTGGTGCTTGCATTATGTCGCCTGTCCTGTTTCATCAGCGCACCTATGGGCGAGTTGCCAATGGATTGCTGCATGCGCTGCATGGCTGTAGCCTCCCGCGCCTTGAAAGTCCAACGAAAGGAAGCACGCGATGCTCGGATGTTCAACCATGTCCAAGATTGGAGAATGACAAAACTCGCCAGAGTTGAAGAACCTCCAGGTTTATGTGCTGTATAGAACCTTGAAGTTCCAAGCACCATCTTGAGTGGGCGTTGTAGCTAGCGTCTCTTGCTGTCTCTGCGCCGCGGCCTCACGCTCGGCCCGAGCGCGCGAGCGTGAAGAACCACGGCCCCATCGAAGTCGAGGACCCTCCTGCAAGTTCGTCTGAGTTCAAGGATTTCTCTGTTCAAAGTTGTCTAGGTCTAGGCCCGTTTTTTCACGTCTTGCCTCTTCACCCAAAGACATCTTGACCATGTGAGGTGAGACAAGGTGAAAAGTGGCCGATGTGTCTATTTTTGGGAAGCCCAAGTTCAAAGCCAGGGTACTCGTAGAGGTGCTTTCAGCACTGGATCCTTCACCACTTCTTTCTTCAACACCTGGGCGGCTGGCACCACATGTGGCACCAGTCTCGTTGCCCAGAACCGCGAGGTTCTCCCCCCTTTCTTAGGTAGTTCTGCCTGTGGTAGTAACCACAGTTTCAGAGCAAGATTAAGTCTCACCAGAGTCAGAGTGCTTCTGTACCTTGCAGAGCTTCAAAAGGGGCAGGTATGTGATACAGTATGTGAAATACCTTTCCGCGCCAGCATTACAAGAGGAAGCACTGTGGACCAGGCTTCCCTGGGATCCGTCTCTATCGCTATCGCAAGCTTTCTCTTGATCTCAGCAGCACTCATGATCTCAGCAGCACTCGCCGCCTGTGCATGAGGTCTTTTGCATAGAAGTAGCAATCTTTCACTGGTGAACGTTTTTGATCACATTCAAAACCAGAGTGTGTTGTGCAAGCTCTGCAAGGGTTTTCTCAACATACTGCGGTCTCTTGATTGACACACGTTTTTGAACCGCGGAATCACGAAAAACAATCTAGAATAATCGTTGGATCACATATTTCTTGTCCAGTGGGGAACACCTTGGGTGTTAACAAATAGTTTTCTCTAGTCGGCCCAAAGAACTTTGGTCGTGAGATCTAGAAACCTTCTCCCCTATGTTTTCCTTAGAACATGCAAGTCAGAGTCCCAACGCATCAAAAAATGCTTCCACCCTGTGATCCAAACAGTTGACCTAAGGTGTCTTTATTCTTCCATTACATAGCTCATATTCAATGCAACTAATTCAGCACATGTCCCTATAAACTTTGATCAATCTTCCAGCCAGCAAGTTAGCAACGGGCACAAGGGTCTGAAGATTGGCTGGCTTTGTTTGCAAAGTTTTCCAAGTCTGATTTACAAGTAATCGCCTCCAACCCAATAGCGATGGCCTCCAACCTAATAGTAAATTATCTCATGTCTTTCTGTCTGCGGTACTCTATTGTGGCCTTGCAACAATATTTGACATGTTTGTTGTCTCTGTGACGTCTGCGTCTGCCCTTCGACTGGTCTTACATTACCAGTTGTCCCATATGTCCACAAGTATACAAACAAAAATTGGGTAATTCGGCAAAAGACTGACACCAGCAGACAGACAGCCGGCAATCTCATATCTGTACATTGTGGTCGCTGTTCATTGATTAGGCTAATCTATGCTTGCTGCTTCTTATTCTCGCTCCTTCTTCCAGTCAGTCCCTATCCTAAAATCAGTAGTCTCTAAGTTTTGGTTCGTTGCTTTGTTGGAAAATGTTTAAACAGCATAGGGATGGCATAGGGCCTAGGGATAGCATGGTGACAGGCCTGGCGATATCCGCGAACTCGGAGACCGGCCATCCTGCGGAACTGGACATCACTCTCACAAGACAAAAGACGGCGTCTACAGGCGCTACCGCAGAACAAGGTGCGGTCGCAGGCCTGCATGAGGCCGAAAAGAACACCATGGCGCATCTGGGAAGTCAAAGTAGTTGAAGCATCTGAAAGCCAAAACAGAACTTGCCTCGCTTTAGCGTCTCATTTTTTCCCGAGAAAGCACGAAAACAACAACATTGCTAAGCCTAGCCAGCTTCGAGGGTGAGGGAACTCGCCCACAAGAGAAAGTTGTAGATTGTGCCACCATCGTGTTTGTCCAAACACCTTCATCTTTCCAAGTCCACGGTCTGCACCTTGCTGTTAGAACATGTGCATGGAACCGATGTTTAGAACCGCTGAACTTGAGCCACATTGCTCCGTTGCTCTCCTGACAAGCTGCTGCAAAGCCTTTGCAAAATCGACTCAGAAAATTAGGAACGAAGCTGAGTGGTCAAAGCTCCATTTTTCCAAGCCAGTGGTGTTTGGTCCAAGACCCGCGCCGCCTTGAAATTCAAAGCGCAGCTGTCGAGTTCTCAAACGATGAACTCAAGTGAACGATGCAGGCAAGCCATGTGCATCCTGCACTCGGGCAACAGCGACGAGTTTGGGGCGTGTATGCCCCGGATGATATTCCATATCTGCATGTCCAGCAAATCGCCAGACAAAAATCTAACAAATAAGACAATCAAATACCTTCAAATGGCTTCTTTCCATTGTCACCATGCCCTCCAAGTTCAGCTTGAATGCCCTCCACCTGCAACTACCATCAGGTAGGCTAGCCGATCTGCTCCGGTGCAACCACATCCAAACAAACGTTGCAAAATCCAAAACATCCCAATGAAATCTTGATTCTTCATATGACTGTACTTCTTCAAAGGTCGGATGCTCATCTACTCATGCGATGCAGATCTGGCGTGGGGCGCCGAGAGTTCAAAACGTGTTGTTTCGCTGCAACGTATCTCGTCTCATCATCATTGGCGCAGACCTCTTCAAAAACTGCTTTCTTGGCCCTGCGCTGGGAACAGCTTCATGCGACTTTGCCCATTTACAACCCGTTCCAAAAACAGCCAGAGCCAGCACTCGAAATTCAAAGCAAGAGTTCTTGAGCTTTTAAGCACTGACCATATTTCTCTCACTGTGTTCTTTGAAAGAATACAAATCTTTGATTCGTTCCATCCTGTTCTTGTTTCGTTGAAGTCTGGCAGCATTCTTCTCACCTACGTAGCCATCAGCAGTTGCGGCCACCTGTGAGTTCGAAGCCTTCAGTGAAGCTTGCGTCGCCACAGGGGCTGCCAGACAAAAGAGTAAACGTCTTCGCCGCGTTCGCTTCTTGGCACAAAACTGCGGAAGTGTTGCAGAAGTGCCACATGTGGCGAAAAATGCCAAACCTTTCAGCTCGATGTTCCTTTGTTTTTATGAAATTGGCTTCAAGAACTAGACTAGAGGATGTGATTCAGTTCTTAGAAAGAAATGTGAAATGCGAGTGTGTAGCATTTGTGCTGCATTCTTTGCCCTGTAGGAAACAGGAGCAAGGGCTTTGCAGTCAGTGTGGCCAAGCGAATGCTTCACAGCACAAAAAGGTCGTGATGAAAAGACTGTGGTTTCTACCATTCACTGACGTTCATGACCACTCGCTGGCTGAAAAGACTTCAAGTCTCTTTTCCCTAATGTGTCGGTTCCCAAGTCGGTTCTATGGCCGACAAAAGGGAGGACCTGCTTGGGAGCGTCTGACAAACTCTGAGGCACGGAAAATACATCCTCAGTTTCGCTCCGGAATTCAATGTGAATTCCTAAAAACTTCGATCACGAACGCCGAACGCCCGGAATTGATCACTGAAGGCTGTGATAAGTCGAGCATTGGAGCGTGGACAAAATGAAGTCCTAGAGTTGCATCCTTTTGCATCTATGACCTATAAGTCGCCTATGATTCCCAAGAGCATCGGAATTCTCTACACGACTTCTCCATTGCTCTGTATCGCCACAGCGGCATCGGGCGAACGCGTTCACTCCACATTGGATGTAACCTGGAGTCCGGGAACGGCATGTCGGATGGTGTGGCGTCAATGGCACCATCCTGCTTGATCGCCTTTGTTCATTGCGCTGGCCTTTATGCTGTGATGATTTCAGCAGAGATGACAGCTTCCTCAGCCGGGGCCGCTTTCAAATTCTTCACACCAAATGGGTTCATTTTGCCGATTGCTGGGGTGCACCTTGTACTTCATTTATATAAGACTTCATTATCTTTCCGTGCTCCGCTTTCGCCCTTCAACTCTAGAAAGCTCCGAACTTCTACAATAATTGCTCCGAAACGACGTTGACCAACAGAGAGTCTGAGGTCTGTGCCGTATGACCAGCCAATGTCTGTAGGCACTCGCCGGTTCTGGAGCTCCAGACCCTGGAAGCCACCATGCACTGAAACCAGAGCAGAAAGAGAAAGGATGATGCAAAACACTACTTCGAGCTCGGCCAAATCAAGCGAAATCAGGTCACAATCCCAAAGTAAAAAAAGTAAAATATTATATAAGAGAACAACAAAAATCGGGACTTCACCTACAGACTTCAACTTGTAAAGTCGTATCTTGTTGGCAGCCAAATCGGTGCGCCCGAAACACTTTGGACGAAAGTTGCAAAGTTGCGCAATCTATCAATTTAGATAATTGCCCTGTTGGTTAAATTGCACTGACCAAAGGTGTACTGGTTCGGTCAAGCCAACTGTCCACGGCAGTATCGCATTTGAGCTTCTTGCGCCTTTGGGTTTCTTTGGTGCGGCAAAAGCTAAGGAGTTGCCTCTGCTCGAAACATATTGTCATACACATTGGAGGTACTACTCCGAACTTGTAGCTGTGCAGCCAGGCGTCTGTTCCCATGACAACTTCTTCTTGCACGGTTGATGTTTCAACCTCTTGTTTCCTTCTCAGTCAGCCATTCTCGGCCATTCTTCTCCCTGTTCTCTCTGCTTCTCACCCCAGTCTTCACCGCTCATTCCTCCGAACCTTACCGGTCCCGCCTTGCAGTGCCGTCGTAGGATGCAGATGCTATGAGCATACCTTTTGGTTTCACAAGAAATGCTCGAAGTTCTGGAGTGAACACTTCACAGCTTGAAGTATTGTCTGCACAGCGATTCACAGCTTAGCATCGCACCATCTGGTGAAAAGGTGGCGGTGCGTACCCAATCCTCGTGCCCATCCAAAGTCGTAATACATTCACCTCACAGCGCAGGTAGACGTCTCCAAGAACAGGACTTTCAAGGGTCAGGTGTGCCAGGAAAATGACGTGCATTTGTTTCAGCTTGCAATTGGCGCCTGTCGTTGCACTCAACAACCGGACGCACTCCGCGCCGGATGCCACCAGGATCATGGAGCCTTCAACTGTCCATTAGTGTTGATAGGTCTTCTGGTCTGGAGTGTTTCACCTCTTAGTTCTCTTCGGTTCTCAACTCTGGGCTTCCTGCCGTCGGGTGAGAACTGCGCAGTGTTCACGACCTCAGACAACACTCGCTACCAGTCGTCTGAGTGCGTCTGAAAAAGGTTGCAACAACTTGATCTCGAGCGCTTGTTAGAGCTAGTTAGAGCGCATGAGCTTGAGTGTGTCCTTTTACTGCGGAAAAGTGGCTTTGTTGTCGGCATGCAGCACAAGATTACACTCTCCTGCCAATGCAAAATGGCTTGCTGAAATCCTTCACAATCACAAAAATGGGCCTGACTCTGCTTCCCACACGCGGACAGTGCCGTCAAAGGAGGTTGTCAAATACCTTGAAGCATGCATTCTTCTCATCACCAAGTGTACTGCTTCAGATTTCTGCACTCTCTCCATCCAGAGGGTGACCCCAACTCCCAATGTGATCTGGATCCTGAGGCATTCAGCCCACATGTACCGAATCTAAAGCCACCAAGTTGCAACAAGTCGTCCGGTGAAAAGGCCGCACTGTTGACTGCCTGTGAGTCCCGATGCTTGACACACGTCCGAAAGTCACAGGAAACCAACGAAAAAGCCAGCCACGTCAGCCAGGCCCGCCAGGCCTTTGCATGTCCTTGAAGTACCTGCAGGCACCCGCCTGGATCTACATTCCAGACCTTTGTCAGCGGGCGCAAGAAAATCATCCGAAACCATCCACAAAAAAATCCACCGCAAGCTAAGTCATCAAGTCATCCCAAACTAAGCGGGGAAGAACTTGGAAAAGCAAAAAAAAGTAATAACGAGGTTGCCTTGGTCGCCCCAAAAAGACTGTACCTTGCACCGTGCACATCCGTGCACACCGTGTCGGGCTTTGTCCTGGGTGCCGGTGCTCGCGCGGTTCCATCCATGGAGGCCGTGATGATGCGGAGTCCATAGTAGGAGAACATCGCAGACTTCACCTTGCCGTACCGTAGAACAGTACCCCAAAAAAGAAGGAAAGAACATAAAATAAAAAGATAGAAAGAGGAGAATAGAACAAAGGATAACCACTGAAAACTTCAGGAACCCTTCATGTGATATAGAGAAAAAAATAAGTAATCATAGCTGTTCGTCGCCGCTTCATGTTAAATCTCAGGCTGACGCAACATCGTCGTGCCCAACCTGACATTTTGATGGCGTAAACATGGCATTTCGCATCTCAGAGGCAGCGAAATGAAGTCGATAGTCGATAGTGCTTGATTCAAAACATGCCGATTGTGAATTCCAAGGCCAGGACTAAAGCCCTAATGCGGCTGCCATCTGTTGCCATCCACAAGCCAGCAGTGCCTGCAGGACACAATTCACAGGGTGCACCCACCCTAATCTTAGTTGACCACCACATGTCGCAGGACAAAAGGTGTGAGGGAAAGGAAGTGTGTTGCCTGTTTCAACAGTGGACACCTGCACCAGTCAAGCACAGTCAACAGAGCTGTAAAGGTGAGTGCAAACATCATATACCTATTAAACGAAGCGCACAGTAAACTGCTGTGAGAAAGGGTGTCATTGCATGATATTGCATGTTATTGCAAGATTGTCACTACAACAAGAGACCTGTATGATATGAGCTTTGCAACACATCGAAGATGATGTGGATGGGAATGTAAGAGTACGATCATCAGAACACATCCCAACGAAGACACACATCGCCATACAGCGCGCACCGTCGCAAGAGGCTGTCACGACCATTGAGGCGTCCGGTGAAAATGCGGCTGATTTCACCTGTCATGTCGTGCTTCGGTCGGTCAAGACTGGTGACTCACCCATTGGTGACGTCGTACAGACCTCGGTCAAGCCATGGCAGGTAGCACATCATCATCGTGACCCGCAAGGATCTGTGAGCACTTCCCCGTGTCGGCATTCCAGATCTGGCCACACGATCACCGGAGTCCGAAAAATGGAAGAATCAGAGCTTTCCAAGTGAACCCAATTCCAGAAAATGTGAACCGACGTTTCTTTATATGGATGGAGCTGTTTCTTTTCGTTCTTCTCTTTCTTTTCTCTAGGCCTTTAGACCCGTTTCTGTTCCGTTCTTCGTCTCTTTCGTTCCCTTCTCAAATCGAAACCTTCAAAAAAATCCTGAAAACACATGCCAGTCGCCACGATCGCGGTGCAATCGTCCGATGCACCCGTAATCCAGTGGCTATCGGCCGAAAATTCCCCCGACAGGACTCCACCCGGCTGCCCAGAAAGCTCACAGCAAAGACGGCCACTTTCGGCACACCTCGGTCTTCAACGTCCACCTAGTAGCTTCTAGCTACTATTAGCGTCCTTGTTCCTAGTAGTAAGGCCAGGAGCTACGTTCGTAGCGTCCTTGCTCCTAGTAGTAATGCCCTGTGTTACTAGTAGCGTGCAATGCGCTCTTCACAAATCTTCCGCTCTTCAAAAATGAAGAAAACAATGAAGTAAAACAGACCTCCCGCCGCGCTTCGGTTTCAAGGGACCGCAAGTGGGCAAATGAGATTTCTTCAGTTTCATGCAGGAAAGAACAAGTAACAAGATCATCTTCTACCGGCATGTCCACGTCGACCATTTCTCTGAGCACGGGCACCACAGCTTTCCCTCACCATCCAATGAGACAGTGAGAAGCTTTGATCCATCTTGGGAAAACGTGGCCGACTGGACCTGCACAAAAGGCTTGGAGCTACACAACTGCGTATCATGCCACAAGAGAACCAGTTTGCACGATCATGCAGAATCAAAGAAGGCTTTACAAAAAAAACAAATGTTTTGTCTGGTGAAAATGTCGTTGTTAGGACACCTTGAGACTTGTGCAATCGGGTCTGAAGAATTCAATCCAGGCCTGCCCTCCTTGCCGAGCAACTAGCATTTTGCGGCAATCTCCATTCTGCAGGTACCTGGCAATGCCGCCAACGCCACATCCAAACACTCCAAACGCCACAGATATAGTATATAGATGCTTAATGCCTTCGATTCCTTTATGATTCACATCGGCTCACAAAGCTGAGAAGCAATGCCACGGTCATACCGCCGTCATGCGGTCCGGATGGGAAAACCGCATGTCAGAACATGTGGGGACCCAGACGTGACTTCGTTGGAGGCGGTTTTGACCCGCCAATATGGCTCAGCGTTTTGACCCGTTCACCGTCAACTGGCCGGCTCCACCAAATCCGTGCCGTGCCATCGAACGAGGCCGTGAGCTGAGCAGCAAACGTAACATCAGGTCTATAGGGTCAGAACCAAGGATGCAAAGCAAACTGAGGTCGCTGACACAAAGCAGGGGCGTCTGAACCAAGAACACCGTGTCGCCATCAGACAGGCCTGCCTCTCTGAGGCTTACCTTTTCGTCCAACACCTGTGGGAACAGATTTCAATGGTCTTTGAACGGCGTTGCCATAGGTTTCCAACAACTTTCCTCTCACACACCGCCGCCTGCGACTGAAAAAGGAAATGAAGAGCTACCCCGCCCTCTCCTCGCATCTCTTGCGTCTCTTAGGGTGAAAACAGTGGGGAAACCGGGAACTCGAGGGCATTGCTGAATCTTATCTTTGCTATTCAAAGAAAAGAAAGAACCACAATAACCACAAACATCATAGATATGATAGGCTTCATCCGACATCTCAGAAATAGTGGACTCCATTACTTTGTCTTTGTGATATCTGATACATAAAGGCGGAGGCCATCGCTACTAGGAGCAAGGACGCTACTCGCTGTCGCAACGCTCGGTGTGCATCCGACATCGTCTCCGCTCCTGTGGACCTGAGCACGTGCTCTCGAAGGTAGCCAGGCGTATGGGAAGGCCTCGCTCGTACCTGGAACGGAACCGGAAGGCCTCGCTCATGGGGTGGAACCGTGGAGAGCACAGCTGCAAAGCGGAGAAGACGAATATAGAGAATTCTGAACAATCGTTTCAGAAGAAGTATTGAAAGTCTTCAGCAACTCTCTTGTTTGTCCAGAAGTTTTACTCAATGAGAAACATCCGTTTTACTCTGCTTCTTCTGCAAGTCTTCGTCTTCGTCTTTGGCGCACCACCGTGAGAGTCTCGCCGCTCACCGCATGTCGAATCGAAATCGACAATTCCTGTGGCGATGCTCAGAGTTCCCAACAGCGTCAACCGCTCGACCGGTTGACGCCAGCATAGACCCCATGTTACGCAACAAATAGCAACCTCTTCCTATACTTAAAGTAACAGCTCTTGCTATCTGGGAAAAAAAGCGGACCAACGATGGAGGACACCTGGTGACATACTGACCAAAACAGTTGGTTCAGCTGCAACCCTGTGTGACCAAACAGGAGCGTAAAAACACGTCCGCGGACAGGCACCAACAGTCCTTGCCAACTTCATTCTCCAGCTCTGCCAGCTTCGTCCTCACGTCATCGAGTGTATCCTGTCAGCCAGGTAGGACACCGATTTAAAATGAGTTAAAGCTAAGAGCAGTGGCCTCCAACCTAAGAGCAATAATTTAAAGTAACGTGGAAAACACAGGTTTGACGATTTTGACGTTTGGAAGACAACCACCGAAAGTCTGCACATGTTGGGTCATATGTCATGCTGGAGACACGACAAACATGTAAAGGACTTCTGCCTTCATTCAGAAAACTGCATGGAATCTGATCGTGTGGACTCCTCTCTGATGATTTGCTTACTCTCCTCATGTCTCCTCTTTTCTCAATTGAACTTTCCTTGCAATGCAACCTCCACGACTCGGTCCTCCTCAACACCTGCGGCTTCTGCACGTTCAACCGCCAGGCGCAGGTTCTCCAAAGGATCCCGCTGAGCCTTCTCAAGGGCAATCCGATGATTCCAGGTGTCCCATGCAAAGATCTGTGACATGAGGAACAAAAAGCTACTAGGGGCTCCTGGCATCGTTACTAGGAGCAAGAACGCTACTAGGATGTCAGTGAAGATATGTGGGGATGGGTCGTTCAACCATGTTCGCCCGCCCCGTCCACAGAGCGAACGACCTTCCAGATAGCTTAACCATGGCCAACCAAGGTGTCCTGTTCCTGGTTTTGACCCACAGCCATGTGACATCGAGACACGATAGTGAATCAACAGGTTGACGTGACGACGAGCAAAGCACAGATTTGATGAGCTGATTCCTTTCGCGATGCGTGATCCCGAAACTGCCTGGGATATCACGTTGATGATGATCCCCATGATCTGCCCCATGGCGACCAAGGAAGGCCACCACGCGCTGCGCGCTGGGCTGATCCTGCGACCACGAAGGAGCTTCGCGATGGGTTTCGCCAACAAAATCAGCTTGAGAAATGCATGTTGAAGAAAATAAATATGTAAATATTGTGTGTGATTTTGAGAAAAGAAAAAACGATTAACATTGGAGGTCACTGACATCACAAAATATGTCTTGAATCTGATGCTTGAAATTCGGACCAAGTTCTTGCTACCACCGTTTCAGCCCGCCTTTCTAGCTGCGCGGGGCTCGTATGTCCAAAAGCATCACATACTGAGCTTCCCGAGCCAAAGCAGCTGCAAAGGTTCCCCCATCAATGTTCCATCAACAGAAGCCCTACAAGCTATAAGATGCTATAAATCTCCTTCGAGTTCGAGATGGTTTTGAGGCTCTAGCAACACTTTGCATCGACGCGTCAGTGCCCGATTCGCTTCAGCGGTGGTTTTCACAAGACGATGCCAGCGGCGCATCCTTTTCACCCGCCGGTCGCCGTCGCTCACCTCGCACGAAAGGATACACACGGTGCCCTCTCAGCTCATAGGGCCATGAAGAGCGCTGACCTAAGAGGAGAGCAGATCGATCGATGCTGAAAAAGCGAACATCGATCGATCGATGCGGAGAAGCCAAAGATAACAAGGATTGGAGGGAGAGGATCCCTTCAAGAGACTTTCAACTCAAAGAAACACCTGTTGTTCCCCCTTAGGATACTGCAATGGCCCGCGCTGCTTGATCCACTGGCCCATCACGAGGAGCTTCGGAACTCACAGCGCCTTGCGCCGCGCTCGTAGCCGCCGCTCGTAGCCGCCGCTACGGACAGACTGAGAGGCCCACTGACTCCACTGAGCTCCTGGAACCCATGTAACCTCACGGGGTTTGACTGAGGTGAAATTGGACGATCTGACTGAATCTGACTCAATGTTGTTGGGTCAAAGGCTTGCTTGCCATGAAGCTTCTGTCCTGCCAGAATTTGATGCCAGCAACCCGCCAAGGAATTTCGAGAAAAAAAGCCGCAAAGGCTCCTGAAAGAAGTCGCCCTCATAGGACCACTTCTCGTTAGATTTGCCAGGTGCGGCCGCAGGTCGGTCAAGGAGGTTCCTCGCAGCCAAGCTTGGTGGCCTTGCCAAGGGATACCTCGGGAGTTTTTTGCTTTCATGAAGCCTCTCATGTGGAGAGAAATGGCTGTGTCCCACACACACCAGGTGCTTGGAGATCCGAACAGTAGGCATTGCTGGGCCTCCAAGTGCGAAAGCAGTGAAAGCAGCTTGGATGAGGTCGGGGTTGAGGTCCGGACTGTAGAATGGCATTGGAGTGAAGCACACGACCCTGGCCCTAACGGCGACTTCCAAGGCGTCACCGTCACCGGAACACCGTCACCGGCGCGCCGCGGACGGAACCGCGGCGCTCCGCCAAGCTCTGCCTGGATGGCAATGGAAGGCTCTGCTTCAGCCTCTGGGGACACTGCGCGAGCTGAACTCTGGTCTCATTCCCCGTCTCAGCTCATTCCCGTTTGCAGCGTTTGATTGAAAGGCATAGTTGAAGGATTTGAAGAGAACGAGAGAAAGACATCATGAAAGCATCTGCAAATGTCCATATAATTCAACCACCTGGTCATGCACTTTGACCCAATGCCTCTGTTTCAACTGTCTTCCGCCGGAAGCCCACAACCTCCACTCCAAAAAAGAGCAACAGTCCCTCGACTGGAAGCAGATTGTCAAACGTGACCATCTAAGCAAAAGATAGGAAAACTGCGCATCAGTTCCCTTTACTCAACTTTCTGGTCCACTGCGGTCCACAGCTTTCAGGACTCAATCGAAAAAGATGTTTTCCTGCCTTGGAGCCTGGTGGAAGCCCAGCAGGCACTTGGTATGCAGGGTCCTCCTGGCTGTAAACAGTCTCAACAAATCTTCACTTCTCAGCTAGAGGCGTGCCTCTTCAGCTGCTTTGGGCACAGCCGTCTTAGACCTTGTGTGGGGGCAGAGTCCATCAAAATGTAAGGTTGTTTTGTTGTCATCGCTCCATGAGTGACGGACAGGACAGCTGGTTGAATTCCTGAAGAGCTGGTCGAATGCCCAGACAAATGCCACCGAAAACCGCTTAGATTTGCTTGACGCAGTTTCTGCGACGCACCGTCAACGAGAACACCACAGGGGCCCCAGGCCAAGCTTGGAGGCCAGCTGTTGCATCTCTTGCGCCTCCCAAGCTAAGAAAGTTTGGAAGAGGCTTAGAAGGAGCTGCGCATTAAATGTCAACCGTTGATTCGTTGATTGAAGGTTGCTCGGGGAAGGTTTTGAACGACGAGCAGGCATCTGTTCAGGGGCTCTGACAGACCACTCAGGGAGACCATGGTTTCACAAGATTCGCATAGCTGGAGACTGTGGTGTCAAAACTGAACTCCGACACGATGCAGTCATTCGCAGTTGAACCTTGGCAGAGTGAGCAAAAGCTGCGGCGTCTGCAGGCCGGAAGCTTCCAGTAGGTCTCAGCGCGTCAAAGGTGTCGTTGTCAAACTTGAATAATCTGGCATGTCGCAGACAAAGCCTGGTGGTCGGTGTGTTACCTGCATTATGCTCTGGAATGCATTACTTGGGTTTTTGTGCGCTGACAACGTCGGACCGGCCATTGATTTATATATTGGAAGGTGCACACATTACTTGAACCGTTGGAAAACGGAACACCAACACAAACAACAACAAGAAACCAACTCTCAGTAAAGACCGCCGTGTCCGCGAAGTGGCAGCGGCTGCGGCCTTTTTGATCACTTGAGCCAAAAGTACAAATGTTCATGAACTGTGTCTATACATATGAGGTGTACTTTACACAGGAAACTTCAAGTCCCCCCTCATAGTGAGATGAACATATGTACAGCTAGTATTCCAGGTCTGAGACAGTCGCTTCATTGCTTGAACCGTCTGTGACCTGACAATTCCTATCGAAAGACTGCAAGCTTAACCTAACAGGCTTACGAACGGCAGCTTGGGAGCGGCGCTTCAAGCAGCCAGTCACCCTTCATGCAAGTTTGGCGCTACGCTGGGCAGTAGCACTGTGCTGCGTGCATTGTCTAGACTTTCATTCGAGGCAGCTCTAACTTAGTTTCAAGCTGCTGCTGGTTATCGCTTAGCTTTAACCATTTCATTCATTGCAGATCTAGCTTAGCTTTGAACTGCGGCTGACTATTGCTTAGCTCTAGTCATGCGAGCTCCTGCCTGCATCATAAGACGGGAGCGGACTCAGGGAGAACTGCAACAACTCCAAGGCATTTCCCCATTTGGACAACGGCAATCCTTTAGTAAACACGTCACCCTTTTGCTGAGTCGTTTCGATATGCTGGACTGTGATGTCATCAGCATTGTTGACAGTTTCGGCAGTTGAGGCCACATTTATGCGGTGGGTTTTACTCAAATGCCTTAATTTATTGGAGTAACCTTTCTGGATAATCGAGACCACAGCTGTATTGTCTTCGAAAACCTTCAGGGTCATTCCGGGGATCAACGCTTGCCATACCTCCAAGGTAGGAATCGCCTCGGAGAATAAGGCACTGGAAAGTGAGACGAACTCGCTCTCCGTGGTCGATCTTGCAACCACGCTCTGCCTCTTGGAACTCCAACTCACTGGCGCAAAGCTGGAGGGACCCGCAACTGCAAGGATGAATCCAGAGGTTGAACGCATAGATTTAATGTCACCACCGAAATCGGCATCGCAATACAGAGACAAGTTCAACTGCTCTGGCGGATCACGAATGCACATTATCGGGGAGTATTCATGGGTCTTTTGCAAGTACCCAATGAGTCTTGCGACTCTTTTATCGTCGTTGGCCGACCACACCGTAATGTGTTTCGCCAACAGAGTGACAGCAAATGTGACGTCTGGTCTGCTAATGCGACAGAGCCACATCAACTTCATAATTAATTTGGCCGAATGTGGCGAGAGCTGTCCCTTGACCTCGTCATCAGCGGGGATCAGGGCTCCATCGTCCCATGAGGGCGAGGAATAGGCCTTCACCGGCGTTTTCGCCAGCTCTTCATACAGTTCAACGCACTGTTTTGCGAAGTCAGATGATTCTAAGGCCACTGCTTTGCTCCCTTGAAACCACACAAGCCTATGGTTTCGTCCTAAGACTCTTCCATATTCTGACGGTGGATCTAAATTTATATACTGCTTGAGGGTTTTCCAGAATCCTTCATGTTCGGAGGCTACTCCTGAGAGTGTGAGGTCGTCTACATAGACGCTCATCACTAGAGAACGACCGAACCGAAAAACCGAGGGCATCTCACTGAACTCGACACCGTTAAGTTTTTCTTGCAAGATTTTGGAAAGGTGGGCCTGCCAGTGCGCCGACGACTCTGGATGGCCATAGAGGCTCTTGTACAGCTGCGCGCAAGGCATGTGGATGTGTTTCTTGGACTCTGGCACAAGCTCAGGCGGTAGCATCACAAATGTTCGATGCTTCGTGCCGAGTGCGGACTGAATATAGGCCCGGACGCAATCGGATGTTGAACAAGTGTTTCCCTCGATCATTGAAAAGGCTATCACTGTGTTCAATGCTGCAATTGAACTCAGAGCGGAAGCAGCAAGATCTTGGAAGATGGCGCTCAAGCCCCCCTGATCCTTGACTGCGTCACCTCGGAAAACAATCCGAGCCTTGATCTTCCAGTCAGCTGGGTTCTTTTCATATCCCTTTATGCTAACTATCACCATTAGGGCTCCGAAATGCAGTGTTTCATTGGGGAATTCCCTGATCACGTCTGCTTTTGACCTAATCTCATCTTCAATCCAAGTCCCTTCCAAAACCAAACCATCTTTCTCGCTTTTAATGGCAAGGTAAACTTCTGGGCGACCCTTCCATTCAGCACGCTCTAACAGACGATGAACGAATGCTGGTGTTACAAACTCCTTACATCCACTCTCATGCATGAGGACATCAATGGGAACACATGGCATCCCTTTGACAACATGCTGCCGATGTGAATGAATCACGCGAGGTGTGCACGGCATGCAAAACACATGAGCATTGATGACATGTGGAAACAAAGCATGCAACATGATCTGACAAAGAGGCTCTGGGTAGAAAGCTGAGTTTCGAGTGTATTTCCCTTCAAGGGGTGCATGCTTGTCATGCGTGCACTTCAACATTCCCAAAGAATCAGCTAACCTCTTATTATTCGTGACAAACCTCCACGGCTTTCGAGCGGGTTTGTTGTCCTTGGCAGTGATTCCCACTGTGCAGCCATCGAAAGTGGCAGACAGCAATTGCCTTTCTGTGATCCAGGAAGCTAGGGGTTCACTCATCCACCCTGAACAATACCTTGGCCACTCAAAAGACACAAAACCACCATTATCAAGAACATGGTTTGCAACCCTGATGAACGAATGCATCATTGAAACACTTTCCCTACGCTTCTCTCGAAGGATGTTGGACAATCTTGGGTTCTTTGCTTCATTCAACCTTTGCCAAGCACTCCAGGGACCACACTCAATGGAACCATGGATTGAACAACCAGGGATGGCTTTCACTTGCTCAACAAGTTGGTCGATGTTTGCTTTACTTGCGAGATCTATGTGTTCCTTACAAAGTCTTACAATTTGAACTCCAAGCTCCTCACCAATCCTACCGAGCGCTGAGTCTGAAGCACAGGCAAATTCAAACAAAATCTTTCCACCTGGGGAATTGTGGATCTGACTGTGTAGACGCTCAGGCTTTGCAGCTGCTCCTAGACAGCTCTCATTGCTTGCAGCGACTGCTGATGCATACGTTTCTTGAACAATCGTTTCTGGAGCTTTCTTGAAAATGGCATCATGAGACATGGCAAGGACGGCATTAATGCCTGCATGGACACGAGCTTCATCACCCTCAGGTTCATCTTCATCATCATCAGAGGGCGGAGGACATTCTGGGACAATCTCCTCTTCATCCTCTTCGGCCTCTGACAAAACAGTTGGGGTGTACTCTTCGTCAATCAAGTCTCCTAGGATCTCCGGCATTTCGAAGGTCGGAGGCTCAGGCGCTGGGGTCGAAGGAGCAGCACCGAACGCTTCCTCATACCGGGCAATGCATTCGGCATTGTGCGCAGACGAATCAGCATCACAACCTTTGCATCCCTTGGTCGGGCCGATCTTCAGCATCCTACTGTACGTGATGTAAACTCTGCGTGCTTTAGACTTAGTCTCTGGGGTATCTTCGATGAAAGGAATTGGCAAAGGATCCACGTCAGCGAGTTGACGAACATCAGGATCCGAGAAGTCATTCAATGCCTTCTCTGCAAGATCTCTCAACGGAAACACGCGCTCATCACGAACATAAACCTCTTGATCCGGGGCGACCACAATGGAAACATGACCTTGCTTCAAGGAGTTGTAATCCACAAGTCTCAAAACACCTTTGTACCGACACCCAAACTCAAGCTTCCAACCTCCCATTAGGGCTGGTGAAGAATTGGGGGCGAGTTTTGACTTCTCTTGAAACTTTGTTCTATAGAAAACCAACTGACCCAAAATGTAATCTGCACCTTTGAACTCAGAACCAAAAGCCTTTGACCAATGCTCGATGCTCATGGAAACAGCTGTGTACTGGCATGTCAGGGTCCAAAGCTTTGGGAACACCGCGAATCCTGCTTGCAAGTGCATGCTTCTGCAAGATTCTTCAAAGGACCTGATTTGTCTTTCAAGTACACTGTTGTGAGGCCATCTCCTAGGCAATGATGCGTCTGACAACCAACCGAGTGAACGAATGGCTTTCAGAAGCTCCTTGGCACAGTCTGACTTACAAATGGTTTGAGGGTTCTTGGCCTTTACACCCACAAAATGGTTCAGGGCTTCCTTGACCGAATCAGTGTCTTTTGTTGCCAGAGGATATGCTTGGAAAACTTTGCTGAACAAGTCCATCACCACAAGAACAACAAATTCCTTCCCCGACGAAGACTTTGAAACGATCATGCGATCACATGCAATTTGCTGGCCGAACGCTTCAGGAACAGGAAGATCACTCTCTTCGTCTGCTCTACGATGGGATCTGATGCGTTTTGAGTACAGCCTAGCACGATTGCAAACATCACAAAGTGCGGACTTAGGGAAATGTGTCACGCAATGCTTGGTGGACAGTGCAAGTTCCCGTTCACGCACGAACTTCTCAGATTCAGGGACCTTTGGCAAAGCCTCACCTGGAGCAACGCCACGAATGTCGTCTGCAACTGAATGCGGAATCGCACCTTCAGGAGATCGGACCTCGGGTTCTGCTTCAACAGGTTCCACCTCACCTGGTACGCCTGGAATGAAATCAAATGATCTGGAGAAATATGGTACATACTGATCAACCCTCGATGCTCGAATCAAATTGCTTTCATCCGTTTGGAACTGGAATTGATTGCAGTCTTTTATATAGCATGGGAGTTGATTGGGCAACCACAAAAACCCCATACCATTGCTAACATCAAGACCGACAGACCGGACAAACGGGCATGAGTCAAGCACGAAGTGATTTGCCTCTTGAAAGATGCCTTCACGATCCCTAAGACCGATTGCATCGCTCGAATCTCTCTTTCCTCCACCTGTCGAAAACCTCAGGCTCTCATGTGAAGGAAGCTGGAACTGGCTGAACACCTCTGGAGACACTCCCTGCCTTTCTAAGCTTTGCGGAGAGACGAGATGTCGGCCGGCACCTGTGTCTGCAGCAAACTCTAGACGGCCTTCAACTGGCATGGCCATCGATGAGAGGGCAGCAACAATGGCAACAGCAGCCATTGCCTTGGCTTTCGGCTTTGGCTGGGCCTTTGGCTTAGCCGTTGCTTCGGCTTTGGCATCAGGCTTGACCTTCTCATGCAAGTACGCGCATGAACTGCCGTGCACACAACCGGAAGGCATTTGGAAGAACACGCAAGGCGTTTTCGCCTTGTCTTCCTTGCTCAAACCCTTGCCTTTACCTTTTCCCTTCTCACCTTTGCCTTTATCACCTTTGCCACTTTTACCCTTAGGGTCATTCTTGGGCGACGAAGGATCAGCTGGAGCCGCCGGTGTCTCCTTAGGAGGTGGTGGCGGAACCGCGGCAGCCTTTGCAGGGTTTGCAAGAGGATTCGACTTCTCCTTTGGATCTTTCTTCCACGACTTTGGCTTCAACGAAAGCTCAATGGACCTAGCATTGGTATCTTCCCTTTCCTCAACGAGGTGCTCCTGCAACCTTCCCCAAAGGAAGTCGAAATCACGAAGTTCCGAGCTATATGCGGAGCGTTTGATCTCGTCGATGGTCCTTTCAAGCTTTCGAACGTTTCTCAACCGATGGAACAACCAGTCACCTAACATTCTCTGAGTCGGCCAGTCGGCAGGGTCAATGGAGTTCAAGGCCTTCATGACTGTACCGCTAAACTCCTGGAGATCTTTCAACGAAAAACCATTGAGTTCCACCTGAAAGATGCTTTGCGATGTGAGCAATGAACCACGAGTACGATCGAGATCGAAATGTCGAGCAATCATGTACAAGATCATCCTACCCCGAGGGACTGTGGACTGACGAGTGCACCGCTCAACATAACCCTGGACTTTGAACAACAACTCAGGGCTTGACCGCACATTCTTGAGAAGCTCAGATGCAAGCCACCTATCAAACCTTGGGATCAGGCCTGATGAACTCTGGCATTCTTTCTCCTGACCTACCTCGAAAGCCGTTGCAGCCCACTTGGAAAGGTATTCATTCGACGAAATGTCCAAGCGGCCAAGCATCAGAAAGAAGTTTGTCTTCCAAGCTCTAAAGTCTGCAGCACTCTGAGGGACCACTTCCAGTTTGGTGTGCAACAAAGCTCTAGAATCAACAATCTCCCTTTCTGAGGCATGTGAGGGCGACTCTGAAATCAACTCCTCTTCATCGTCGTCCGACCCTCCACCCCCCTGATCGATTGGATCGGGCGGACCTCCGGGAAAGCCTTTGCCAACACGAAGTCCACGAGAAGGTCCTACAGGAAGCGAGGATGAATGGACAACTGTGTCATGCGAACGATCGAACAAAGGTCGAGGCTCACGATTTAGATCCGTGCTATTTCGGCTTGATTCAAGTGTCAACATTCTGGAACTGAGTGACTGAACAGCTTCCATAATCGACTCCAACATTCTGTTGCCTCCTTCAGTGTCCTTGGGCGAAGATGCATCAGGCACAGGCTTCGGAACGAAAGCAGGTGCAGGCGACTGGATGACCGCGGCGCTTGAAGCAGCCAGTCGGGCCTCCAGCGACGAGATGCGATCTTGTCGAGACGAAGACTCTTGGCAAAGACGCTGGATTTCTGAATCTTTATGGCCTAAAAGGTTGAGGGACTTTTGATTGAGGTCGGACAAACGGTCGATCTCATCTTTCGCTTTGCGAAGTTGACCCTCAAACATGGACTGGTTGAATTTGATCTGGTTCTCAAGGGTTTGCTTTACCTCTTGGACCGCTTCATGCAAGCTGGTGATCATGACATCTTTCTCGGTGTGACCTGTTTGGAGCATTTCATTCTGACTACGGCTACGGAGTTCTTCGACCAGGGACGTCAGGTGACCGATGTGAGCTGTGGCTTCCTGAAAGACTTGTTGAGCGACACCTTCAAAGTGCGAAGCTCTAGAGTCCGCTTCCCCGATCAGTCGTTGAGACTCAGCTACAACACGACCGAACTCTGCATGATCAATACCAACATATGCCACCTGGACCGTGTTAAAAGACCGGGCGTCATGAAGGTGCAATTCTTGTGTCAAGCTAGTTTGATTAGGCATGACTTCATCTTCCTCTCCGGTACCCTGGAACTCGGATGGACCAACCGACCGCTGAAGCAACCCACTGGACGAAGGCAAAGACCGAAGATCAGTGAGCGCAGGAATGGATGGTTCAACCACTGATGACCCCTCTGCTTGAACCTGGGACTGATTACCTTTGGGCATGTTTTTGATGACTCTGCTCAAAGATCTCTTTGGAGGTTTTGATCTCCTTCCCTCATGGGGTGTTCCGGAACCATGGGAGGATTGGGACCTGCTCCGAACAGCAACTGCCAAACCACCAACAGTAGTATCTGAACTGACATTCAACGATGAAGATTGTTCTTCTGACATGATTCACTGGCCAACTATCCAAACTCTCCCAAACCCTTCTTTCTTTTCGGCGGGAACGAATGCACAATTGGCACAGGCTCTTTCGGGAACTGGCCTAACGAACGAAGGCTCTGTGGCGCTCAAAGCAGCCGGACCGGAGCAGCTTCGATGCAACTTCACTCTTCCTCGTCAACTGGATTCGAATGGTGATGCACGAAAGTCACCAAACGATCCACCAACCAAGATGCTGAAAAACTCCAAGACCTTTGCTCTTCGTCAAAAATCGCTCCGACCCGAGGCTTGCGAATCTGAATAGCGATGAGGCTCGCCGCACTGAACTCACGCAGCACCTCAACGTTGTCGTCCAAAATCACAGCCTGACCACGAGTCAACGATCTCAGCACTTCAAACTTTCCACCTGAGCCCGTCCTTTCACGAGTGATGATCACACAATCAACCGACAATGAACTCTGTTGTACAGCAGTGATCAAGTTCCTCTCGTTCACCACACTGTCGTGAATGTGCGACAAAACAATGATCTTCACTCGACAACGCAAGCCGACCTCTTCAATCTCCCTTCGCAAGCGACGAACTGCTGCAACGTGGCCCGCAGGCAGATTACCAAAATGATCCACACGATCCGGAGGATTGACACTCCGATCAACGTCAAGGACCTGATGGTAGTCCAATGCAATCACCGGATCAGAGCCCCAGTGATTCGGCCTTTCTGCAGCCAGCCTCAACGTATCACCGTTCGCCCACACGTAAAACTTGGCTGAGGACGGAAAAGTCAAGGCCTCTCTGTAAACAATGTCAACTCGCGACCACGGGTGAAGAACGACTCCAGGCGCCGGGTGGTAGTACTTGAGGATGTCGTAAGGCCGATTTCCGGCAGGCGTGTCAACAACACTCGAATCCGCTCGACTCGGAACAGGCCTTGGGGCCGCAGCCAAACTTGACGAGCCAGGCGAATGATCGAAGAGTTACGGATTGTAGAGCCTTGAACGCGGCACAAGATGCTCAGCCTGCAACGAAGTCAAATCAACTGCTGATGTATGCGCAACAAACTCAACTTCGTCAGTCTCCTCACCCGAATCCTCGCTTGCACTCGGCTCCCAAAACCTAGAAGTTCCAAGTGGCCTTCTCTGACCGCCAGCGTGAACAATCGGAACCGTCGCTCGATCGCCTCCCGAATTGACAATGTACGCCTCTCTGCGTCGCCGTGCGGCAGCTCCTCCCCGGATACCGCGCCTCGGAGGATCAGGAGGCGTCAGTGGCAGTGGCCTCCTTGGCGGTGGCCCTGGGGGTTCAGGAGGCCGCAGCGTCCGACGAATTGGCGAACGGGACGGCTCTCGAGGACGCCGACCTGACATGCACGGGTTTTCTGTGGACCCCGCAACCACACTAATGAAAGATGTTGTTGTGTTGTAACAGAAACCGAAAAACAATCAAAAGCCGATACGGCTGATAACCACTTGAACCGTTGGAAAACGGAACACCAACACAAACAACAACAAGAAACCAACTCTCAGTAAAGACCGCCGTGTCCGCGAAGTGGCAGCGGCTGCGGCCTTTTTGATCACTTGAGCCAAAAGTACAAATGTTCATGAACTGTGTCTATACATATGAGGTGTACTTTACACAGGAAACTTCAAGTTTTATATATTGGAAGGTGCACACATGCAGAGATTCCTACCATCTGAGAAGAATGAGCGCCCGACATTCGATATCCCTCGAGGATGCGCTCCTTCCGGGCTCACACCAAGTACATTCTCTGATGTATTTGTGCAAAATGTCTTCCAAATTGAATAACCAACTGTTTCCAAGTTCCGAGACCCCTCCAAGAAATGCTCCCAACTTGCATCTGCTCCCGACTCCGAAACACCGTCCATTTTTAAGCGGAAGAGTCACCAACCGATCACCCGATCCTCCAGGTAGGCGGCCAGCTCCGTGCAAGTCTCCAAAGACCGCTGTCGCTCGGCACGGAGACGCTCCGCCAAGACCTGCACGGCTGGAGCGGCCGAGACTGCGGCTACCTGTTTAAAACAAAGAAAGAAAGAGCTCCAAAGGCGAAAACGAAAAGAACACATCCAAATGTTGACAAAGTAGTTAACAAAGGATATACTCTGACGATCTTCGGACGACGTCCACCGACGTTCCGGCGATTGCCAGAGGCACCGTCCAACGCTTGAGCTCCGCGTCTCGTAGCTTCAGCTCCGTTGCCAGCTGAGACTGCATGACGGCTACGCTTCGGCGGTAAAATGGCAGTAGATGTCTCATCTCAGGCTGAAAAGGCTGATTAAGGTGATTAAGGCGTTTATGACTTGAGACATGCTAGTTTTGGAAAGGGTAGAGGAGCGAAGAGAAGGATGGAATAAGTGATTTTTACAAGTCTAAGTCGAATGTTCTTCGCCTTTTCAAGAGCCCAAGGATCAACTGGAGCACGCTCCTGTCATGGTGCTGTGCGGTGAACATTTTCCAAGTGAAAGACTGTGTCCAGCCAGCGCCTGCCGCAGTGCCCAGCGGTAGCCCTCCTGACACGAAGTTTGGAGCTGTTCTCCAAGTTTGGAGCGGAAGAGCTTTGGAGTTCCAGTTAGTTTTTTCAGAGCTTTGGTAGCCATTTCTTGCCATGCCTTGAGTTCTACCAAAGAAATCCAACCACTTGGATGCTCCAGCTTCCCTCTAACCTTGGCCGAAGGCATCCATTCGGTGAGCTTCCCTTCCGCATCTACAAGTTTCAACTGAGTAAACAAGCACAGTAACAAGTGCAAAAGAAAGCAAGTCCTTTTTGCATCCAGTAAAATGTCCTTACAGACATTATCTTCCATTGCAAAGCTCCAAATCCTTTTGACCTGGCCATGCAAGGGAACTAAAACTGATCTTTCTGTGCATCCTAGCAAACCTTCTATACAAGACGTTGGCGTGTAGGGAGTCAAAAGATCACTTGCAATCTCAACTGGTCGCACTGGAAGTTTGCTTTCTGTCTAAACAAACTCCGCGTGAACGTGCAATCTCAGGAATTCTCGTCCGGCATGTTAGGTCACATGGACGATGCCATGGAACCAAAAATCCCACCTCCAATGATGAGAACACCGACACCCACCGCGCATTGAATGATACTCCTGCGCTGATCAGCATCCTCGCATGCCTTTTTGCATGCAGAGCAACCAGGAATGTCTTTGATGACGGTTGTATTTCCGACGCTCTCCTTTTTTTGGATCGTGCTCACATGGACCAAGCACAAAAGCTTGTTACATTCACGGCATTTGGATCCGGCGATCTGCTTGCAGTTCCCCTGTTGGCAAAGTGGAGGTTGGGAGTGAATGTTCTCCGGTCGAGCTGTGGTGGTGTGAGCTTGTGTTGGCTTGCCCGCTTGGCTCTGCAAGACGCGCTCCAAACGGATGCGGTGCCCACCACGTAGCCCGATCTCCTCCATGCAACGCTCATCCATGCCCTGAACATCCTCCACGGTTTCATACCTGAAAGAGAGGAACTTCGAGTACCATTCCTCCAAACCTGCGTTCTGCAACAGCTTTAAGAGCTCCGACTCTTCCGCTGCTCCATGCACCTCAGGAAGAACCTCATTTACAGAAACAGAAGGATTGGTCATGTCGACGTCGCCAAACTGGGAACTTCGAACGAGTCGAAATGAAAGCTGGTTGAGCCGAATTAGTTGTGAATTGAGAATTCGTTAAGTATTTCCAAGCAGAAGTGCCCCAACTCTTTCCTTGCCCTGCTCCAGGCTGCCACCCTGTTGGCTTCGGGTATGGGCAGCACCTGAAAACCCCGAGAAAAAATCAAGAGCGCCGTGGTCGGATTCAACCAGAGGAACTGACTTTGTCGGCCATGTTTCATCGAACGTGAACCACTTCGCCTCCAGCACGTGAACGACTTCGCCTGCGGCCAGCTGCGCCACCTCGAGCGGCGAACGATGCGACGAGGCCAGCTGCGACCGACGTTCCAAGTGCCCGGGCCACCGGAGAGTCCAACGACCTGCCGGCGCTCGCTGGATCCACTCGCTCGTCGCAAGTCTGCGAGTGTGGCAGGTCGTTTGTGTCCGATTTGTAGTAAGAATGCTCCGTTCGTAGCGATGCCAGGAGCTACTACTAGTAGTAAGGCCAGGAGCTACTGTACTAGTAGTGTCCTTGTTCCTAATAAGAACGCCCTTCTGTAGACAGCGAGTATCTTCAGTTCAAAGTTCACCAGTTCACACGAAGGTGTTCCCATAGCCCCTTTTTGGCGAAGCCCCGTGAAGCTCCTGAGCACCCAGCGCGTCGGCACGGACCTCTGCATTGTTGTGCACAATGAGATAGTGGCCCGGAAGATCTTCCTGCGTTCGGAACGTGGACTCTTGAGGACCATAATTATCCGAGATGAGGATGTGTTGTTCAAAAATCAAGAGTCTACATGACGGGAAAGAGAGTGAAATAGGTGGAAAAAAATCGGTGAAATGATGCGAAAGACCGAACGAAAAAGCTGGAGGAATCCCGACGGTTTGTCACCCACACGAGGGGCCCTCGGACCGCCTCCACGAGGCTCATCGGCACGCGGAAGGCGCGAGGCGAGCAGGTCTTTGGGTGGTTGAGACGTGGAGGTGGATTGAGGTGGATTTAGGTGGATGGTTGCGCCGGTTGCGCCTTTTTCATCTTTCACAGGTGGTACAACAGGTACACAGCTGGGAAAATGAAGAACCAAACAAATAGGAAACAGGGAGTCTAGGAGGGATTTAGACAATGAAAGGTCGGATCAAGCCAAGGACATAAATTTGCCTTTGTCTCTGCATGCGGTTGCTTTACACTCGCACGAAAACAGACTGAAGACTGCATCGCCAACTGGCACTGGAGCCAATCGGCAAACAGCTTCATGGCAATGGTACACTTGTCTGTCCCCCATACCTGCAAAGTGATCTCCTCTGCAAACAACATGCGTCTGACCGATTTGCACCTGAAGGTGCAAAAAGCATTTTCTCTACAGTGGCAAGCAGAAGTAGAAGCGTGGGTCTGAGCTGCTTTGCAGTCAAAGCCCTCGTGCAGGTCAAGAAGTGATCAGGGGAAGCTTACATTCCCCAAAACACATGATCGTCTCCAGACTCGTTATCAGCCACGAATGCATCTCACTTAAACCTATCTGGATCCCTCATCCAACCTGCTGGGTCTCAGCAGTCTTACGAGTCCAGTTTCCACAAAAAGATATCACGTGCCAACACTCCAACACTCAGCACTATGTGGTTCCCACATTTTTAGCAGCCGGAATTATGTGCTGTGCCTTAGGGCCTTAGGACTCCTGAGGCCAAAGGAGGCCAGGAGAGCACACATCGCCATTGGTGCCCTTGTCAGGAATACTGCCCAAAGTGCGAGCTCGAAGCACCTGACATCAAAAGAGAAGAGCTCGAAGCACCGAATTCTTGTCGCTGCAAAAGTGTTTGTCACCCGCCTCCAAGTTTTGGTCAATTTTTCTGCAAATGTTCACGGTCAGGTGCAGCAGTTTCAGAGTCTGAATAGCGTGGATTGGCATTTCCAGCAGGCATAGATTCAGCAATCCTTCCACAAACTCTTCCTGTGTCAACCTCATTGCAATGATGCAAAAAGCTTCGCAACTCTCTTACTCCACTCCTGCCTTTGAAACTGCAACACATGCAGAACGTATTCCCCTTCTCTTCCCCAAGTTCTGATGGGCACAGGTGTCTCATCTGCGGATCTCTTCAAAACGCATTCTTTACAAAAATAGTGCCCCACAAACCTCCCTGCGGTAGCATTCCTGAACCAAGTGTTTCACCTTGTCCAAAAAACAGGAGGGAATCCTGACAGCTCGAACTAGTTGCGCCACCTTTGCTACAAAGATCAAGGAACCACGTTCCTCACGGACATCATGATGACAAGTTCTCATGCTGATATGGGCAACACTGACATGCTGACACGTTGTCACGCTGAGATACTGATGTTGGGTCATGCTGTCTCGCTGACATGCTCTCAGGCTCCAGAGTGGGTTGCCTGCTTCTTGCTTGTTGTGGCCATGTCGTGCTTGCACATATTTGGGCACATGCGTTATGCCAACATTATATTTCCGATTGTGTGATGCATGCTTGTCGCATTGAATAGGGTCACATGTTTCGAACCAGCTTTGTCCGGTAAAGACACAGCAACTTTTGGCGAGCGCGATGCTGCCAATGCTTACTTTTTTCCCAGCCGTACCCCGCACTGACTTCAGTCATATAATGCAGGGCGTTGGCGTAGCCAAAAGAAGCCGTGGCATATTTACATATCAGAAAGTTCGAGTGAGGGCTGCCAATGCTTACTAGGCGGATTAATGCCCAGCTGTTGGAAATGTTTGTTGGGCCTTTATTACGTTTCCTCGGATGGCACACCATGTCAACATATCGGCATGACAACACCTCAGTAAGGTGTTGTAACAACAACATGTTTGCATGTCAGCAAAAACGGCACGTCAGCATGACCCCGTCTTTGCAAGTTAGCATGACAGATTGACAACATGTTGGAATGTCGACATGACAGCGCAAACCATACAAGCATGGCAGCCTGACACTATGAAAATGAAAAATGTCAGCATGACAACATGCCAGCATGATATACGTTGCATTATGGCATGTCAGCATTACGCCCTGTCAGCACTACGTCCACTGTTACGCATATCCTTGAGCCAGCAGGTGTGTGTGTGTGTGTGTTTGGTCACCACAAAGTTCCTCCACCAACACCTCACACTTCTCACCCCAGAAAAGACTATTGCGGTTCCGACTCTGCGCTGCGTCCAAAAGTAAAAAGCACAGAGCAGCTCTGCACAGCAAGCAGCTCTCCTTTCTCATCCACGTCCAAAAAGTCAAAGAAGTCCAGGATGGATCCCACACAGGCAGAGTCCATCAACCGCCGAGGCAACACATTCTCATGCACCGACGCCATTTCATCACGAGAGATGATACCACTCTCATCCTTGAAAAATTGCCAGCAAGGTTTAAGAAGTCATTTCATGTCATTTCTACCATCTGCACACGTTTTCTTTCCAAGTGTAACAGCAGGTCACCCTTTGACAGAACTCCTCGCAACGAAATGTTTGCCAAGCTTGAGATGTGAAACAATCAGAAAACCAGATGCTCTGAGTGCCTAAGCACTGAGCCAAAAGAGGATCCATGCGGCCTTTGTTTGGCGCCGGTCACTGACCGGCCTCTGTGCAGCTGAAAGTCTTTATCGATCTTCACAAAAATCTTCAGCAATTCAGGTATCGCCTTGCCGGTATCGGCGCAAACTAACAACAAGACGGGAATGACATGGGCAAGCTTGGCAAAGTATGTGATACGAGTGAAATGTGTTTCCTCCACAGAGAGGCAAAGCATTCGCTGTGAAAGAGGCTTCAACCTCTGCGAAGTACCAGCTTCAATATAACTGGAAGCAAAATTTGCTGAATTCATGCGCAAGATAAAAAGAATGTTTTGCAACAAGCCTCATAAGCCAGGATACCGCACAATTGAGCGACTCGCTGATGGGTAAATACAAATAAAGATTCTCTCGAAATCAGCGAAATTCAGGGGGCTCTTCGAAGAGCCGGGCCCGGTCTTTTGGGCTCCCGCTCCGTGTCCGCTCGGCACGGGTGCCTCCTTGACTTTGCACTTCAATGAGCTCCGTTCTTCCTCAGCCTCTTGAACAGCAGATTCCATGGCATTCCTCAGCTGCAGATTCCATATCTCTGGGAGTCGACATCAAGCTTTCTCAAAGTGCCAAGCTGCTCCAGGACGACTGCTGTCACCAAGTTCATCAGACCAATAGAAATCACTACGATGATCAGAAGAAAAAACAAGCCTCAGTAGAACCGGCTGTGACTCCCCATGTTTTCGCTCGAGTTGATTAGCAAGCACTGATTCATGAAAAAGTTCTTTGCTGAGTTTGCTACAGAGATATGGCTGGTTGATAATGATGGGGAAATAGATCGCAGCCACGGAGTCCACGGTGACGAATTGCATCAAAGTCACCATAGATGGTCCAATGCCGCTGAAGTGCCTTGCATTTCGAGGACAACCAAGAAAACGTACGCAGTGAATACCAAAGTCCCACCCAATCTTTGCTTTTTCTGCGTTGCTTTGATTCAACAAGGGACTGGAGCCCTTTTTCTTTGCCATGACCTCCCAAACACTTTTCTAGGGCGGTTGACCAAAGAGAGCTGCATAGCTGCGCAGAAAGCACGTCGAATGGGTGAAATGCAACGAGCACCCGTTTCTAAAGCCATTGGTGAATCAGAAGAGGTTAGATGGGATGGAACATCCTGGAGTGAGAAAGAGGCAAGTGGGCAAGTACATGGATGCTAAATGCCTAGGAGAGTACGTAATTCTGTGATTCTGCCAGCAGGAGCCGAGCTAAATGGAGATACACAAAAGAGGTGGTGACAAAAACGACTGAGATTTCTTGCTGCTTGCTACTAGTGGCAAGCCAAGGCAGGCATTCCACATGTCCTTCACCCAAACTTCAGCCCTTTAGAAGCGATGGCCTCCAGCCTAGAAGCGATGGCCTCCAACCTAATGGGAATGGCCTTCAACCTAGAAGCGATGGCCTCCAACCTAGAAGCGATGGCCTCCAACCTAATGGGAATGGCCTTCAACCTAGAAGCGATGGCCTCCAACCTAGAAGCGATGGCCTCCAACCTAGAAGCGCTCTTTGTGGTAGCAAAACCGGCAATCCGAAAGGTCCCGGGTCACGTCTCCTTCATCCATCTTCCCTTTGGACTCGGCCTTCTACATCCATCATCACCACTCACCGGTGAATTTGAGGCGCGATGCAAAGCCAAGTCGTGAGTGCTGAGTCGCAAGTCGAACAACAAAATCAATCCGACGGAAGCGGCACGACGAAAGTGCAGGTCGTGCCGTGTGGTGAGTGCAGGAGCAAACCGGCCACACCTTCAACTTCTAACGTGCGAGGAAACAAGCAAAAAGCAAGGAACCTGGAGACTCTCTGGTGCGAGTCAATGGTCCTAGATAGATTACAGGAGTGTACCTGCTACTGTCTTATGTGTTATCTATTCTCTTGTTCAGATCCCTGACAGATCCAAACGTGGCCGATTCCGCTCGGCATCCAAAAAGAGCTTTCTGCTTCATCCTTGTTCACCGAAGTGGTTGGAAACATGAGAGGCTTCGTCTAAATCTGAAAACTCCCGCAGTTCAGTACAACAAATTTGACATGCACTAGTTCAGTTTGAGTTGGAGAAACGGTCACTTCTCGATGGGACAAAGCGAAAGGAGTATCAGCGTTGTAGACGGCTTCCACTGGAGACCACACGTATATATATAGAGATTCTTCAGCCCAAGCATCTCATCGATGATCTTTTTGGTCTCGGTTATTTCATTAAGCTTGTCGTCCTGGCACTGAGTCACAGACGTGCAAATCATGCTGGGGAGTGATTCACAATAAGCCACAAAAAACAATCCACCGATTTCCAGCATGGATGCACATCGGGAATGCTTGGACGACAAATCACACCCGGTCTTCCGAACTGTGCGCCTTGGCAATGAGCTCAACTGCCATGCATGAGAAGACAAAGAGCGACACGAGGATCAGCACGGTGGTGGAGATGATCGTCTGACCCGCCGAGATCAATCCATGCACCAATCCTGGTCTTCCGCGACCGTCCGCGCTTCGACCCGACCGTCCGGCCGAGTCCGACCTCGAGCTAATGACTCAGTGCTTTATGAGCCGCAGGACACTGCTCTATGATGCTTTGGTTGGTGCTACGGGCTTGCATCTGCTTTGGGGACACTCTCACCGTTCTGCGGCACGAGATTCGTGCGGCTGGTAAGTCCACACCTTTGAGCAGGAAACCTCTGTCCATGGCGGCCAAAATGAGTACCATCATGCAGACAATGTAGTCACTTACTCCACCAGACAGAGAGAGAGAGATTCAGCCTGTGAACAGGACCAAGACGTGACAAGACAAACAACACAACCCGCCTTGTTGTCACTAGAACCTTCATTCTCCGTATGGCTGAGTAATGTGAGGAGGGGTTGCAAATTGTGGTTCCAGTCGAAACCTTGTAATGAGCCGTGCAAGCCATGTGATGCCTCCCCGTGACACCAGAATCACAAATTGCTCAAATGAAATGATGCTACAAGTACAGAATTGCCAAATTGGTGCTCAGAGTGCGTGTTTTTTTCTCGCGCACCTAAGTTCTGAAAGTCTGTCAGACTACAAGAGCAAATGAAGCTCTGTCCAGACTCCGGAACAGCTGAGAGTATTCCTCTGACGTGTATTGCCACCAAGGATCGCCACATCACCTTGAAGTGCTTGAACATCCTGAAGGTGTGCAGCTACATTGAAGGGGGTAAACCAACAGTGCAAATGACGTGCAAGCTTCAGGGTAGGTCGCCTTCTATACTACCTCCAACAAAATGGTCCCGTACAGTAGGGTGGGGACTTCACAACTCCTTGCAACTGTTCCTTCCGACTGGCCCCCTCCTCAGCGCTCGCACCAGCCGCAACAAGCGGACTCCCCGCACCAGAAGTAGCTTCTCCACGCCATCCGCAGAGTTTCCAACTGACAGATCCGTGCCGACTCGCGACACGATGCAGGAAGCGCTTGCACACCGGATTTGGATTTATTTTGGCACATAGGCTTTCAACCTTAACATACATGAACAATTCCTCAAACAATAAGCCGTGAACTACTCCATAGTATGATGCTCCGAATTTACTTGCCAAAGGGACAACCTGTAGCACAGGCGGCTGGGAAGTGGGTTGATGGGCTTTTGCGGGATGTATGAAACAAAAGAAGCGAATTCAAGTCGAACAAATGCACGAGAGCAGGGCTTGTTGCCATGCAAATGTGTCAAACGAAGCTGGGTTCCTGTAAAGCATGTGATGCAGATGGTTCTCGCCTTAGGTCTTGGACCAAAAGCCAGCTATCTTTACTACGAACCAAACAATGCTTCCTTTTCCAACAGTAAGGACCGCTTTCTTGTGTCATGGTGTGTGTGTGTGTCAGTCTAATATTTGCAATGGAGCGGTTTGAGACAGGTCCAAAGGACTTGAAGGAGTGATGACCGGTCGTGGGATTTTCTGCTCTGCAGCAAGGTTTCTTGTTCCTCCACATCCATGGTCATAGCAAGGGAAGCATGGTGGAACGGCTGGGGAAGTTATTCCTACCCCACACACAAAACAAACACGGTGCAAAAAAATGGTGTATCAATGCATCACATAACCGTCACAACATCTATATATCGTCCAACACATTTACTGCCAACGAACAGCAGGAAGAAGAGAGTGCCGGCAATCCCTCAAGAGGTCCCGTGTTTGAAGCATGCCTGTCAAGGGGAGGATCCAGAGGGCAACAAAAGCGATCGTGATCAGCATCATGTCTGTAAAAAACCAAATGTCCTTGGCCAGGCTTGGTGCAAATGATTCTCTTTTAACCCACGCATAAAAGAATAATGCATTTCGAGCAAGTGATGCCCAGTTCCACCCTTCTAGCATAAGTAAAGGTTCTCGCTCTGATCATGCAAAACAACTGGGCGAAACGATTTGGCAGGCCAAGATTGCTTTCTCGACGCCGAATCAGGATGTGTACTTCCAACAATTTGTATTTCACCAAGTTACTTGCAGTTCCCCCAGCCCAGGCTACCATTCTCGTCACGGTTCTTTGAAGATGTTGGACCCTGCAATAAAACGAAGCAGGGCTTCAAAGCCTCAGAAAGGTTAAAGCAAGTGGCAAATGGATTCTGGCACTGTCCACATCTTTTTTGTTTGTGCGAAATCCCAATGCCCAGAAGCAATAGATGAAGAAAAAGAGCCTTTCAGTGACATACGCCCAGGGCAAGTGGTCTTTTTGCTGCGCGTACGACGCATCAGCTTCGATTCCAATCAGAACTAGGTTTAAAGCGATCACCTCAGCTTCGACCGTTTGCACGCATTTGGCAACTAAGAAGTTTTTGCACCAAGAGAAAAGACTCTTATTTTTTGAGACCTTTCCGCCTTTACTATCTCCTTTTCCTTGCTTTCCCTACGCATGAAACACAATTTGGTGCTCAGGAAAGATGTCCACTTTTGATCGTTGCAGGTGAGTCAGCAAGAACATTCACCATAACTTTTTGCACTGCTCTACAAAGAAAGCATCGTCGGGACTCGCAGAGTCATCAGGAATTTAAACACTCGACAGGCTTCAAAGACCACTGGTTGACTGGAAAAGTGCAGGGCAACAAGCCCCACAAGTGACACCCCCCACCAACAGTCAGTCAGCTCCAGTTCATCACTGGCAAGCATATACCTGCCCACAAAAGAAGCACCAAACAATGGCTCACTATTCCCAACGTCGCTCATTCCCCAATGATGTGCTGATTCATCTGTGATGATGCCTGCAGCTACCTGTCGACAACTAGACTAGACATGCTTAAATTAAAATTCCACTACTCTTCTTCAGATTCATTTGCGACCTCAAGCCAAATACGCCTTCATCCAAGGCGTCTGGGATGACGTATTTTAACATGGCAGCGCTTTTCCATTGGCCCATTTGCAGAGTGAAACGCACCCAGACTTGGCTAGGGCAGTTGTATTTTGACAGCACGTTTGGACATCGATGGGTCTATGAGCTGTTTGGTATGTTCCTGGTTGGCGCTCTGACTTTGCTTGAACATCATCTGCTGCGTCTATCTTTTGGGCGTCTGCCTGAATGTTGCGGCTTGGGTCATTCTTTTCTGCACGTCGCGCCCAATTCTTCTGGAGAAGCTCTTCACAGAGCTTATATGAAACGAATGGCCGGTTGCCCTTCATTTGCTCCTGCTCTGCAAGCTGAAGCACATTGTCCACATGTCCTAGAACACTTGGCCACGTCAACTGGCCAGTTGCTACTGCCACATTCGAATGAAAGCTCCATCCCACTGCTAAACTGTTCTGGAGAACCGGGGTGAAGCAGCTGCACTTTTCCATGCTTTTCCAAATCGTGCAAGGAGGAGATGGGCAGCTGACGGTGGACAGGCCAGTCACCATCATCATGCATCGGAAAGTTTTCCGCCAATCAAATCCGTGGCCACATTGGAAGGGTCTCCTTGAATGTCAAGACAACAAAAAGAAACGGTGTCTTCCCAGCCAACTTGCATTCTTCTGTATGCTGCTGCATGTTGCTACACAGCGCTTGTTCGGCCTGAAGCCCAAAGCCTAAGCTTTTCATCTCAGCTTTACTAAGGAGACCTGCCACATCTGCCACCTTGCCTGGAACTAGCAACTTGGAAAGGGATTGGGCGCTGGAGGCTGCACCACTGCCTTGCTGCACACGGCGAGCCTGAGCCACCGCCTTGACCGCCCTAAGCACACGACGGATGACGCACGCCTGAACTGGCAATTCCTTGGGAAGCTTGTCTTCAATCAGCTGTCCTGTGTCTCCTTCAGCCAGTCCCGGAAAAGCTACATTCAGCTTGTCTGTGAACCAAGAAATTGTTGTCGCCACCACAGCCTCGCCCGGGCTCGGATCTTCGACCTTCTTCAACAAGTCCGGCCACGTGGCCATTGCCCTGGAATCTCAGCAAAAGAGATCTGAAACCTGAGCTGAGCCAGGGCTGCAGCATCACACCTTAGTAATTGTGCCTTAGCACACGTTTGACAACCTGTGCATCCACATTATGATCCAATCCTGAAGCACGCACAACGCAGTTCACAGCAGCTCCCCTTTCGCACAAGAGCAAAGCCAAGGAGAAACCCTCCAGGTCAAACCCAGAAAGAGGGGACCAACCCCTGACCACCCCAAGGACAACAGCCCCAAACCCTTACACATACCGTATACAACATACTCCCCTCTGCATGGTCTGTCACCATTCCCATTCACTTGGCAAACCAAAACCGAAGACCGCTTCACCAGCTGGATTGCAAGCATGTAGCACAAGTATTCATGAAAGGGAATGCAGGTCCATTATTCCAAAGCAACACTCAACTCCATTCAGTTTACAGTAAAACCTTTCCAGTTTTCTTGTGTGTCTGTTTCTTTCGCCTTTCCTTTTTTAAGCGATAACCTACCGCAGCAACAGCTTCCATGCTTTGAAGCATCGTCGAAAGAAAACGGCCAAGAATCCCACAAACAAATACAACCCGTGACATGAGGCTAAGCCACAAAGCCCGTCACATACTCGAATCGGTCATTTTTCACTATCCTGCAAGCGAAAGACAAGAGAACCGGCAACGATAAGTTGAAACAATCCAAAAACAGTATGTTGGCTTGCAAGGCTTACGGGCCATACTTAGCAATTCGCACCAGGTCTCCAAGTGACCTCTTCACCAAAGGTTCCATTTTGGGTATGCGCATTGAAATCTGGGTGCCTGCTGATCAATGAGACTGTTGTAGTGCTGTTATAGTGAGGTTGTATTGGGTATTACAGCATAACCAAGAGAATGACGACTTAGAAACACAACACTTTGCCAAAATACACCAAAAAAATATCTGACTGTCCTCTGAACAAACTGCTGGAGCTTGTGGATGCGCTTTTGCTTATTGTGTTGTTCTTCACTGAGGGTCAAATCCACCTGAGGACACTTCGCAGCAAACACAGTTGCAACAAGAAAGAAATCATTTGTGGACGTAAGTCTTCGGCGTGTCACTTGAACACTACACTAAGGTTGGAGGCCATCGCAATTAAGTTAATTCGTTGCGGAGTGGTCCTGCCTTTGCCAGCTCCTGCCTCACCAGCTTGTGCAAGGGTCCACTTTGATCCCGCTTGGTCAGCACTGGTGCCTGAGAGCGAACAAGAAAGAGTTCGCAAAAGCCCAGCGAAAGGAGTTGCTCACCGATCCAAGGTGCTTGGAAGGATGCCGCGGACGGCGTCTTGTCCAGCTCCCCTTCTCGACTCCCACTCCGCTCCGTACTCTTCTCCGAGACCAACTCGGTATCTCCCGGCGGCAGTGCAATGGGCGCCGGGAGCAGGCGCGGCGCGTCGCGCGGCGCATCCGGCTCCGCCGGCGGAGCACAAGTCGGTGAGGTGGGCCTCATTGGAAACAGAGTTCGCAAATGGATCCGAAGTCATGAGAAGACGTGGACCTGGGGACGAATTATTCACAAAAGAGTACAGGGCATTTAGAGTGTCTGAAGTGCTGCACATTATAAGTATGGCATATTTGACACGTTGCCTCCTAACTCAATGTCGCAACAGGTTTCCAGCTGGAAAGCTTAGGCATATGGGGACCAAACAATAACATAGAATCACAATGTCCAGAGCATCTTGTAGTTCCTGCACCCAAATATTGCGGACCACAAACTATCCAAGTTGCTGACTGACACCCTTGCTGCCCTCGCTACCCTCGCTGCTCTGGATGCTGAAGAGGAGTTCGTCGAAGGATTTCTGAGGTCAAAGTCTTGTGAGCATGGGAGCTGACAAAGTTTGGACCCCAAGGAAAATACTGAAACCAATCTTGCAAGTCTCAAAACCGAAAGAAAAATACATGTTTGTTCTTTGAATAAAATCCTGCAATATCTGTAAAGATGCAACTGTCCCTTGCCTGCCAGTCTTCGTGTTCCTTTTTGAGGCAGTCAATCCTTCGGAATGAAGCTGATTGCTTCTCTCGCAGATCCAGGAGTTTCTCCACGAGGTTCGATTGCATTGCAAGGCACAAATTGGAAAGATCACAAACGTAGTTTCAAGAACATTTCGCATCATGGCTTCATTTCTCTCAATAGTATGTAAACAGCCTTGCACTTGCCGTCCTAGGCCCCTTGTTTTGGTTTGGGAGTCTTCAACTGTGAATAGGCAGCATGTCAGACAACTGGAATAAAGATCAACTAGCCCAAGCCCGTCAAATGATGGAAACGGTAAGCAAATGCATTCCAAATCTGGACATCTAACGTGCAATGATTTTTGAGCCATGCCTGCTCACCACAAGCACACCACAGCATTACAATAACACACCACACCGATGAATCCACCAAGGTCGTGATCAGAAAAACAGGTGGACGATTGTTGATTGACAACATTTGTTTGTCACGTGGTTCTTTGGGAATTTGGCCAGGCAACATGTCAGCATCAGATCATGTCCAAAACAAGTTAGTTAGGAGTTCTCACGACTGAAAATATTGAAACAACAATTTGAATTAAGTGCCATTGCAAACAATGTGCACAAACAATATTTTTTGAAACTTCCCATGACAAAAACTAGAAACTGAAAATTTGGAAACGGCTATTTTAAAACAGTGCATGTCGTGCAATGTGACATCATGTTGTCAACCAAAACTTGCAATGTACATTCACGTTCCTCAAAGGAAACCAGGGTTGAACAACTATTGTGCAGAAAGATTGTGAACTTCGGTGGACCCTGCAGAACGGCTGCTTTGGTGCCCACCCACCAGTGAAACAACAACAAGAAAGCAGCCACGAACCCGCATGCACACGTTCGGTGCGCGGAGTGCAATTGAGGGTCGACGCGGTTTTTTTGCACAAATGAACGCGCACGAATGAAGCATGTCCCTTGGACTGAAAGCCGACACTGTCATTTGCGATTTCCAACCACACTTGTGGAAGACACATTTGCAAGACTGAAACTGGAGTGTGACTCATGCAGCGACGCGCCGTGTTCACACCAGCATGGGGTTTCCCTTCGCTCAATGATCAAGCCTTCATGGCACCGACTGACGCACACGTACTGTCCACCAAAGCTGTGCAAAACCTTATGGCACAACGACAATGCACACGTCATGTCGCCACACGGTGTGCCAGACTGGAGACAACCATGCAAATGACACACCAAGCATCCTAGTCACCGCCAATCATTCCGCTTTCCAGCGACACGCCTCATTTACACAAGCATGCTTTCCGTCTGTCGGTAGCCGTGTGACCTTTGAAGGTGAAAGGTTTTCCAACCAAAGCAAAGGCCACTCGCTCAGGTAGCAGTTGTTTTTCTTCCGCACACCTTGGCCCGTCCACGGGCGCTGTCTGTCGTGGCCTGTCAAGGCCTCAAATGCCACAAGCTATGGCGGCACGTGCGAACGGTAGCCTACAAAGGCCTGTGAAGGCCACTGGCTGAAGGGTGCCCTTTGAACCGGGAGGTTCACGGAAGTCGCACATGTCCTTCACTGACCGGAAGCGAAACACATATGTTTAGCTGAGTTATTCACATGCCCCGTGTGTGAGCTTCCGATCAGATCCAGCCACGTGCTTTCACCCAAACCTAACTCCTCAGTCTCAGGAGCATCCGCAGGCAGCCGCCGGGCCCGGAGCTTCTTTGCGGCAATGAACTTTGGGTCGTAGACCACATTCCACTGCTGACCTTCTTCCAAGAATCGCCGCATGCGATCTTGAGCTCCCACCTTCGTCAGCCCGTCGGCCAGCTGCATGTCCGAGTTGCACCATCGCAGCTCTGTGGCCTGGAGCTTCATGTTCTGCACCAAGGCCAAGATCTCCAAGGCCGTGTATTTCTCCTTGGAGGAGAAGGAAGGCATATCGCCCTGTTGGCAAGAGTCGTACAAGGCCTTCGCATCCGTGATGAGGAAGCCCCTCATCTTCTGAGCCGTGTCTCCAGGTCGATGGAGGTTCACTTTCTCGCACATCATCTCCATCCACATCGCGCGGACGAACATGAGCTCCTGCTCTGCTTCGGCCAAAGCTTGGGTCTCTGCTGCCAAGCTGCTGCGACATACTCGACGAAGCTTTGCACTGCCCCAGCTGATCACATTCACCGGACCTTTCTGGCCCTTGTCCACCATGTCCTTGTGGACCAGTCCGATCAGCATGCCGCCGGTGCTGCCCAAATCAGCGCGATTGGCCAGCGCTGCGTCTGACCAGGCCACTGCCACCACATCCTCGTCCTTCTCGGCATAGAGGTTGTGCATCTCCAAGGTCACATTCCTCTGGCCATAGAGCTCGCGGGTGAACTTGTTGATCTCTTTGAGGACCTCTCTTTCACCCTTCGGCAGGATTGACTGAAGGTGGCTGAGCTTCGCGGCATGATGGGGCGCCGTCTGGTAGACTCGCCATTGAGCTGATCCAAGCACAGCTCGGCATTGGCGTCGCTCAGACTCGGTGAGCTCCTTGGCGTGGCCATCCTCCTGGACCTGGTTGAGGGACTCGCAGAACTCCTTCTGGTCCAGGATCCATCCACCATCATTCTTTTGTGACAGGTGGACGCCACAGTGCATCATGGGCGCGCATTCCCAAGGTGACCATTTCAGGCTTTCATGGAACCGCTGCAGGAACTCAGACCATTTGGGATGCCCTTCATCTCCAGTCATGAGGAAGTCGTCGACGTGGGCTCCAACTAGGCCAATGGTGACCTGTTTCTGCAGCCGAGGGTCATAGTCCGTGAGGCGCCACAGACATGGTTCAGTGGTGAGGCGCTCCATGTTCAACTTCTTCAACACTTCATCTACAAACAAGTAGAACTCACGAGGAGCGATGGTCAGGCCATAGGCAGCCTTGAGGAACTGGACTGCTTGGCCTTCCTTCAGGCCCATTGCCTCTTTCAATTCCTGGACTGGCTGTCCAAAAATCTGCCGGTGCTGCTGGCCCATCTCACCCTGCAGGAAGGCGGTCT